AACGTTGAAAACATCTTACAAAAGAAACCATCTTTGCAACAATTTAAAAAGTTCATATTTACAAATATTACAAAAATACAAAATGGATGCAAGTCCATAAACCGTTGTCTTTTCGGCCAGCATGAACTGGTTCTAGTACCAAAATAGTTACAATGTAACCTTCTTGATAGTTTTACATCTTTGTCCCGATCTAGTTCTCTACCTGCCACCACTGCAGCAGATGTCCTCGCCGCTGACCTTGGGCAAGAGCAAACAGCGTGTTTTGTTTGCTACTACCAGTCCATGTCCTCTACTTAGCCAAAAACAAAATGAAAAAAAGAAAAAAATCAAATCAGAATTTTGTAAAAAAGGAAAAAGTCCCCCACACAACACAGATATGTAAAAACTTAAAGAACAAAAAATGTGTATCAGTGCAAACAACAGAAGAAAAGTTCAGCTTGATGTTCATTACAATACCTAACGTGTGTACCCTGCTTCAAGCTGGCAGTGATGTTAATGACATCTTAGTCTTGTTTGCTATGTAATAAAGCCATGTAGAATATTCCAGATTAAGGAACTCCTTGCTCTTTCTCTCAGTTTTTATTCAATATTCTTTTCCACAGTGAATTTAAAATCCATCTTTATTTGGGTTTTTTAAAATCTATGAAATATAAAATAGAGAAACTCTGCTATAGATTTTTAGAGTAAACAAAATAAGTAAAACTATATTATAAGGGTTAGTTCTGTGATCATTACATATAGAAGGTATTTTATTGCCTCATAATTCAAGTCAATATGTGTTTTAAAATATATATGATACCATACTTAAAATTAATGTCAATAATAAAAGGTGACATTTTTCTTAAAGCCAATTCATGTGTTTTCTCTTCAAGATTTAGAATCACTTTTAAAGCCCACATACCTTTCCTCACGCTTAAAAAACCCCTAACTACACAAAAGCCATACTGCAAACGAACTGCTTTTATGAAAATTACAAAAAGATTGCCTATTGTGACTGGAAATGATGGTATCTTATCACATTTGTCTAAAAACTTGATTTTTAAAATTTTGCCAAGTGTACTTTTCAAACCATGAGACAAATTCGTTGATGTTCTCATGTGATGGCAAACCATGCTGGTTTTCTTAATTAATGGATTCCAGTGAGAAATTGTGGTCCATTTGTTTCAAACCCCAACACATTTTCCTTTTAATAAAAAGTATAACACTTTGTAAATGTTCAAACCCTTTACCAGGTAGCTTATCTATCCCCAGCACAGGCACACGTGCGCGCACACACACACACACACACTCAACTCACTCTCTCTCTCTCTCTCTCAATTGCCTCCTCTACCCCTCCACCCCCAGCACCCATTTTACATACAAGGATGGCAAAAAATTAACGCAATTTGGTAGTGATAACAAATAGTAGAAGAAGCCAGACTTTTTTGTTTTACTTTTCAAACAACCAAAACATCAACAGCAATCAGATGTGTAATTCTTAATCTGTAACATTTCAGAAAGTGTTTCTATTGAAAGACAATATATTCTCAGACCAGGATTTCTCTTTCATTTTGCATGAATTAATCCCAAACCGCAAATCCCCTTCTCACACATCCTGCTTTCCCAAATACCACTTGCATTAGCGTCAAGCCAGCTGTGCATCAACTTCTCGGCATGTTCTACCACTCTAATCACATTCTAGTCTTTTACAGGTCGTATACCTTCTCAGTTCTCGCTATTTTCTACCTCTCCCATTCAAAACCTATTCTAAGTACATAGCTGCTTATATTTCCGACATATGATTCCAAAGATTACTATCAGTTCATGTTAAAATCAGAGGTGTAAAAACCATTTGCAGATTTCAACTTGTATACTACATTTTTTTTTCAGTTTTAAGACAAGAAAATTCAAGTAATTTCAAGTAATTCAGCTTGTTTCCCTGCCTTCACGTTATCAGAGCACTTGCCCTGGTATTTCCTTTCCCACCCACCACCCTCCCCTTTTGCCATCAAGCAGATATAGTAAAACCAGACAAAAACTCAGTTGTATGTAGCATTGTGAACCAGAGCTGTTCCCCATTCCCAGTTTAACAGTGAATATAAATAATGCATATACACACACCTATTTCCCAACTACATTGTTCACAGTGTCATTTCTGCTCGTTTTTAGGTAGCATGAATCTCATCAGCACAGAGAAAAAGCTTCACTGGAAACTCATTGAAGGTACTTACTGAGAAGTCAATAGCTCTGTGGCATGCTTAAGGTTTTATTTTTTGTCAGTTTCAGAACCTGGAGCTAACTGCTAAACTGTTTAAGAAGTTTAAAGGTTACAGTCATTAGATTATGACTGTTCATTGTCACCAGTAGCTTAATATAAAACAACCTAACTTTTCCTACTGGTTTCTCTACTCATTCTCTTTTAAAGCAATCCATTGAGAGAATTAAAGGACACTGTCAAATGCTGCTGTTCAGGGCTTTGTGTTGAGAATGATTACTTCGGGTATCGATTAAAAAAAATCCAAAGCATGCTTTTCGTTCTGTCCAAATTGCCACATGGCAAATCACAGCCACGCATTGCTATTAACTTGTTTGAAGCTGTAATTTGCCACAAAAACGATTAGATCTGAATTCATTATTTTAAATTGATCACATTTCACTATATGACTTTCCTTTATTTCACCAGTTTGGAATTTCTGTTTGAGGTTTATCATTCAGAAATCATATTGGTGGACATTTAAATATGGTATTTGATATGAAAATGGTATTCACAGAATACAGTTATTACACTTTATTTTTGCGTGTTCTATAAACAGTTGGTCTGCGGTAGATAATTGGCCACATGTCCACTCATCATTGATAAATCTATGTACACATTTTTATCAAAAATATGGTATTTACATATGTGTAGTTCTTTCTTCTAAATTTTTGCTTTAGTTCATTGTAATGTAAAAAAATACCAAACCTCCAGAGTAATTTTATCTTCTTTAAGGAATCATGGCCGTGACGGCTTCGTTTTCTGAATAGGCAGCTCTGGGAAAACTTTGTCTAGCTTTCATGAAAATTGGACATATCGGTATTTTCTATTATCACAAAGAATGAGATTGGGTAAATCAAACTAAGCTAAAGAAAACCAGGAAAGACAGTGCAGCTACTTAAAACACGGAAACAAATCAAGAATGATGAACCCGCTTGGCTTCCTCAGCATGTACTAGCAACGCCTCGCTAAGCAGCGATGTGACTTCTCCCCAGTCCTCGTGCCTCTCCTACCACCTCAAGGAAGGGAAGGGTTTGGGTATCCGCAGGCAGCCTGCGCGGGCAGCCTACGTGGAGCTCTGGGAGGAGCGGTCGTCGTGCGGGCTCCCGTCCGAGTTCTCCGTCTCGCCCTCGGAGATGGCCTGCATGGGCGTGTTGTACAGCCGGCAGCGCACGCTGTAGCGGCTGCTGCTGGCCGCGGGCGGCGCCCGGGAACGCCCAACCCTCGCCGACGCCGTGGTGGCGAAGTTCTTGGAGGAAAACCCTTCCGCGTTGACTCGTGGGGAGCACGGCGAGAGCGGGGACAAGGCCTCGGCCCCAGGGGACCCATGATGGGCATCCTCCCCGCCTTGAGGGGACTCTACCGGGAGCTCCCCAGGAGGCTTGGGCAGGATGGGACTCTTCAGGATCTCAGTGGCAGACATGCGGTAGCTGGAATCGGAGCGACTGCCTTTCTTGAGGAGCAGCAGCTTAAACTCTTCATTGGATGTGTTCGACTTTTTGGCGTTGCGATAGATGAGACCAGGAGACCTCTGGCTGTTCGGGGTTGTCACGTTGCTGCCAGCTGAAGGCACAGAACCCGTGCCGCTGCTACTGCTACCCAGAGGAACTCTCGACTTGCTTCGAACAGACATGTCTCCAGAATCTTTTCTTCCAAGTACTTTCCTCTTCGATCTTTTAAGAAAAAGAAAGAAGGGAGAAAGATCTCAGGCCACACACGTTTCTGTGTAACAACAAGCACCCAGTGGCATTTTTGCGTCTATTTAAAGACTGGGTTGAGTGCCCCCTATGTGACGGGGAGGCTAAGCGTTATGGCCAGGAGGTGAGGAATAAGGTGCCTTCCTTGTCTTTGTGGCACCTGCTACCCGAGGAGCACTCTCGAATCCCCAGGGAGATGACATTTGCAGATAATGGCCCATGTGCAGGTCATGGGTTCTAGAGGACTTACTGGGATGTTTCCCAGGAGTTAAAGAAAATACTACTGGGGCTGGGGCGTAGTGGGTAAAGCTGCTGCTTGCAGTGCTAGCATCCCATATGGGCACTGTCTCTAGTTCTGGCTGCTCTGCTTCCCATCCAGCTCTCTGCTATGGCCTGGGAAAGCAGTGGAAGATGGTCCAAGTCCTTGGGCCTCTGCACCCACGTGGGAGACCCAGAAGAAGCTCCTGGCTCCTGGTTTCGGATCGGCTCAGCTCCAGCTGTTGTGGCCAATTGGGGAGTGAACCAGAAGATGGAATATTCTCTCTCTCTCTCTGTATGTGTGTGTGTGTAACTCTGACTTTAAAATAAATAAATGAATATTTGAAAAAAAATACTACTATCTGTCCTCCCGTGCTCCTGCACTTTTTAACAACTAAATCTGTCTCTGCAATATGGATGGAATGCTCTGGTATCCAAGACTGACTTCTAAATCCTAGTAGAAGGTGGAGGTGGGTGGAGGTGTGAATGGGACTGGATTTGCCAGTTTGATGGGTGATAGGCCTGGGTGGATGGCTGTATGGGGAGGCATTAGGTCATTCTTTTGAAATTCTTCTACATCAAAACTCTCGCTGGGGGCACAGACATGTAGCCTAGCAGATAAGACATCCACATGCCACATCAGGGTCCCAGGGTTTGATGCTTGGCTCCAGCTCCGGATTCCAGTTCCCTGCTGATGCAGACTCTGGGAGGAAGTGGTGATGGCCCTGGGTTCTTGCTACTTGGATTGACTTCCCGGCTCCCACCTTTAGCCCAGCCCAGCCCAGCCTTAAGTCCTGCAGACATTTGGGGAGTAAGCCAGTAGATGAGAGCCCTTTCTGTCTCTTTATCTGTTTCCCTCTCTGCTTCTCAAACAAATTTAAAAATTTCTAAAAACACATTAGTTACATAACTTGAAGTCAATGAATCCTTGGCTGCAAAGACCATTTCCGAGAGCTGTCTAGAAACAGACACAGCGTGTGAAGCAGTAAGTCAACTCTGTGAAGAACTGAAAACCTACGCCATTTCTGGAGCTCTTCAAGCTTTGTATACTGTAAGCTTGCAAGAAAACAAAATAATTCCTGTCACTTATTATGTAAATAATAAGTAAATCCTGCAGAAATGCATGTCTGTGAGCCAGCCCAGTAAGTCTGTTGAAACCCAAAACCCATCATCCATATCATTGGTCTTCTACCATATTCTAGACATGGAAATGTAACTTTATCATCAAAATACCATGTATGTGCCATAGGTATCCCCATGTCCAGTAAAAGAATAGATTCAGAGGTGTTAACTTATCCAAAACTGCATAGGAAGTGACCAAGCTGGGCTTCAAATCTAGGTCTTTTTGAGTCTACTATTTATTTCCTGTCTACTATTTCAGGCACTACTTGATTTTTTAACATATACGGCATTTTAGTAATTTGTCCTGGGATTGAGGATGAAGTGTGGGGATGGGAATAGAATCAGAGCTTAGACTAGACAGAGAAGCAAAGAAAAATACTGATTCTTCACCTTCTGAGAAGCATGCCTGCTAAGGTATCACAAAAGTTCTTTCTGATTGACTCCTTTGTAAAAAAAAAAAAAAAAAAAAAAAAAAAAAAGCTGTTGAAAATGAAAATCTCTTTATGAGAGAGCTGCACAACAGTGAAATTCCTTTCAAAAGTAGAATCCAGGGCTATAGGGAGGATTATAAACTGGTGGCCAGGAATTTGCTTAAAAAATGCTAACTCTGCAGCGACCCTCAGCACCCTTGCGAACATGGAGTCCTGAGTGGCGCAGAGTGTGCGGGTGCAGCCTGCAGCCTGCTCGCAGCATTGGCTCCCACCGCACCCTGCTCACCTCTGCCCCGGTGACTGCGGGTGGGTGCCATTCGGACGCTGTGCACAGGGACTGCTCTGCTCTCAGTGTGTAACTTCACAGAGAAACATGACTGGATAACAACAGAAGATGGTATTGAACAGTGGGAACCAGCAATTTGCACAGCTTTGGGAGATGTTGCTTATTGTAGTCTGCCTGACGTTGGGACAAATTGAAAAAACGAGATGAGTTTGGTGCTTTGGAAACTGTGAAAGCTGCTAGTGAACTCTATGCTCCTCCAGCAGAGAAGTAACTGAAATTAATGAAGCCCTTGCAGAAAACCTAGGACTCATCGACAAATCTTGTTTTGAAGACAGTTGGCTGATCAAGATGACCCCAAGTAACCCTTCAGAACTAGATGAACTAATGAGTGAAGCAGCCTGTGAGAAATCCATAAAATCTATTGAGGAATGAAAGTGGAACCCTTACAAGAACTAGTATGGAATAACTGAATCCACACAGTTATCTTAAAGTAGTGATGGACAGGACTTAAAATAGCAACTTTTAGCAATATTGATGGGAAGAGATAAAACTTCCAACTCTGCTACTGGGAGAAAATCTCCCCTAACTTTGTAATGATTGCAAATGAATACAATATGCATCTTTTTCACAGTACCTTGTGATTTTTATACTAGGCTCTAGGCACTAGTATTCAGAATACATGAAGTTATCCATGGTAAAAAAAAAAAACTAGTTATACAAATAATGTAATTCAAGGGTAACACTGTTATCTTAAGCCTTATGTAATATTGTAACTTGCTTATAACCATCCCTGGATTGGGATCAAAATATGTGATGATCTTTCCATTGGAAGTAAGTGGGAATGGAGAGCAGTTTTTGTTAGTTGTGCAGTGCCAGAGAAAGAACAACACTGTCCTAATTTTGCTGGTGCTGTTTTATGCAGGGAAGCAGCAGCTCTGCAGCAAAATAGGAAGCATAATAAAATTTTCAACTTCCTCACTAAACAAATGCTAACTCTCCGAGATGGAAAGGGTAATCCCCAAGTTCTGTCCCGTGGGTGTTCCACCTGGCTCCCTGAGGCCTCGTGTAAGAAGGCAGTTGTGTCTGTGAATGGAGTACGTGGGTCATGATTGCTCGATCAGCTAGATATGGGTTCAGTTTCCAAGGGTTAGTTTGCTCTCTGTTCTTTGGTCTCCAGCTGTAACAAGCACTTTTGCAAATATGGGCCACTGATCACAAGGGCTCAGGGGCCAGATGACAGCGTGTTTGGGCAGCATGGACAGAGCACTATCCTGGAGGATCAACCAGGACAACACCCCCTGTGGGCATCGATTTCGGAGAGGCATGCCAGCACTGCTACAGAAATTGAAATTTTAAGAAGGAAGAACCAGAGCCGGCGCCGTGGCTCAATAGGCTAATCCTCCACCTTGCGGCGCCGGCACACCGGGTTCTAGTCCCGGTCGGGGCGCCGGATTCTGTCCCGGTTGCCCCTCTTCCAGGCCAGCTCTCTGCTATGGCCAGGGAGTGCAGTGGAGGATGGCCCAGGTGCTTGGGCCCTGCACCCCATGGGAGACCAGGAAAAGCACCTGGATCCTGGCTCCTGCCATCGGATCAGCGCGGTGCGCCGGCTGCAGCAGCGGCCATTGGAGGGTGAACCAACGGCAAAGGAAGACCTTTCTCTCTCTGTCTCTCTCTCTCACTGTCCACTCTGCCTGTCAAAAATAAAAAAAAAAAAAAAAGAAGGAAGAACCAGGGAGCGATTCTTAGTTGCTCTGAGCCATGAACGGGGCACCATCTTCGTTCAAACTTGGGGCTTGGATTGTTTTGGTCAATGTATAATTGTCTCTGCTAGTGTACATGGTTACAGCTTTGAGCATGCTATTTAGGTTCAGACATTGCACTGGAGTTTGAGCTTTCACTCTGCACTCAACCACAGATTGTTTTCACATAAAAACTTCTTTCAGAATGTCTTTCCTAGGGGTCAAAACACCTCCCCTCAGCAGTTCTTATGGAAGTCTCTCAGTCCAGGCCTTTCTCTCAATAAAAACTCCTCCTTCCCAACTTGTGCATAATTCTACCAATTTGGTAAAACTAATTCTTTGCTTGCTTTTGTTTGTTGATGATTATATTATGAGTAGGAAAGACCTTTCTGTATTTGCCTTTGATGAGAAGCACTTTAACAAGCAGAGGCTTTGTGTGCCTTTGGATTTGGACCGCTTGTGGATGTTGCCTCACCTGTGAATGACTGCAAATAGATCCTCAGTTGTGCGAGGTTTGTTCGGAGACACGAATACACCCTCTGCTTCGGCTTGGGAGTCTTCACTAATTGGTGAAATGATGGAGTCATCACTCGGTGAGGATTCTTAAAATAAGAACAGAGGCATCTTTAAGAAGAAATTACCCAGCACACTACTGTGCTCCACTGACTTATTGGTCAAACAAACAGGAGCGCCCTTACCGTCAAATCTTAGTCCCTTAATCACAAAAGCACTTATCTTGGTTGTTATAATAAGTGAAAAAGAAACAGCAGAGGGAAACCAGCACTGAGGGCTGAGCAGTATGATGGGGGATAGAAAGACATGAGAACTCTATGAAAAGAGGAGAGAGGCAACATAGCAGAATAGGGAGGGAGCGTACTGCTCTAGTCTAGGGGAGGATAGTTAAAAAATAAGTGGAGAGAGCTTGGTCTCAGAGAAGATTTAGGGAGAAAATGGCAGAGGAAACTCCACACAAATTAGAGGGACACTGTGGACCAATGTGGAGGGTGTGGACATGCACAACTCAGGACCCCAGCAGCCAAGAGCCTCAGAACCAGCTTAGGAGAGTGAGGTGAGACCAGACTGCAGCAGCCCAAGGCACTGGTGATAAAGCTGGAGGAAGAGCCTGGCTTGTGTCTGGCTTGGAGCCCTGTCGGGGACAGTGAACCTGCCAACCTACAGGGAGAAAAAGGAGCACATTGCTCTCTCCCTGACCACCTGGCACCAGTGCCCTGGAACTAGCTGAGAGAGGGTGGGCACCATTTTGGACATATGCAACAGCTGTGCCAACTTGTGTCTGTGTGCCCAGCAACCAGCTGAGAGGAGATGCCTGAGCCTGGCTGGGAGAATTGACAGGCGGTTGGGAACTCATGACTGTGGGAGCCTTGTGTGCCAGGACTGTGAAAACACTGTGGTTGTGTTAGAGGGCACAGTGTGTGGCTTGGACTTTGGGCAGTCACTGTAGATGGCTCAGCATGCTCAGGGCTCCCTGATTCCCTGGTGAGGGTCATTGCTGCAGGATCTGTGTTCACACCAAAGACTGCATGGATCCCAAGTGTGGTTCTTGTGGCAGCACGAATGAATATTGTACTCACTGAGACTAGCACCCAGGCATTGGTCTCCTTTGAGGAGAGGAGGTGAGCATGAGAAAATAAGAACAGAGCTGAACAAATCTCCCCTTTGATAAAAAAAAAGATTTGCCACACCCAACTTGGGTTTTACCTTAGACACTCCCCTTACCCTGGAGCACTGAACAGAGCTCCTTGGACACACCCAGTATGCGCCTCTGTTATTCACTGAAAGAGCCGACACCTCGCTACTCCACAGAGGCATAGTTCAAAGATAAAAGCCATCACAGGGGGAAAAAAAACCAACAAGTATCACTACAAATGCCTAATAATAAATACAGCAATTCAAGAAACAAGAGTAAGGAAGACAACATGATGCCCCCCAAAATAACATAACACTTCAATAGTATGTGAAGATGAAGAGATTAATGAAATGCCAGAAACAGAATCCAAATAATTGATTGTAGGATTACTTAGAAGTAATCAGAAATAAATTAATGAACTAAAGAAATCTGAACCTGACATGAATCAAAAATTTTCCCATGGAGTTGAGATTTTAAAGAGAAATCAAAGCCAAATATTGGAAATGAATAATTCAATAGGACTAATAAAAATATGGTGGAAATCCTTAAGAACAGACTTGGTAAGGAAAAAGAAAGAATATCCAAGTTAGAAGACAAATCTCTGGAAATTTTACAGTCAGATCAAAAAAAAAAAAGAAGAAATAAGAAAACTAAAAAACAGTGTTGGAGATTTATGGGAAACTGTCAAATGAACCAACATATGGGTCTTAGGATTTCTTAAAGAAATTGAAGTTTTAAGAAGGAGGGACAGAGTGATGACTCCATCATTTCACCACTTAGTGAGACTCCCAAGCTGAAACAGAGGGTGTATTCTTGTAACAGAACAAACCTCGCAAGACTGAGGATCCATTCTCAGTCATTCACAGATGAGGCAACATCCACAAGTAGCCCAAATCCAAAGACACACAAAGCCTCTGCTTGTTAAAGTGCTTCTCTTAAAGGCAAATAAAGGGAAAGTCTTTCCTACTTATAATCATCAAAAACAAAAGCAAGAAAAGATGGTGTGGAAAGACAGAATGGATTAGAAGGCCCTTTTAATGAAATAATCACAGAAAACTTCCTTAATTTGGAGAATGAAAGAGACGTCCAAGTACAGGGAGCAGGTAGAACTGCTCCTAATAGACATGACCAGAAAAGATCCTCACCATGACACACTGTTGTCAAACTCTCCACAGTAAAACATAAAGAAATTATTCTAAAACGTACTCGAGAGAAATGCCAGATAACTTTCACAGGATTTCCAATTAGACTCACAGCTGACTTCTCATCAGAAACCCTACAGGCTAGGAGAAAATGGTGAGATATATTCCAAGTCTTATCAGAAAAAAACTGGCAACCCAGAATACTATACCCTACAAAGCTCTCATTTATGAATGAAAGTAAAATAAAGACCTTCCATAACAAATAGAAATTGAAAGAATTTGTCATCACCCTTCCAGCCTTTGCAAAAGATGCTTAAGGATGTGCTACACACAGAAACACAGACACATGGTCATCACTACGAAAGAAAATGAAGGCTGAAAATATGGTAAAAGTACAAAGTAAATCCAAAGTAAACAATAGGAATATTTATGGAAAAATGGTAGGGCTAAGTCCTTAATTATCAATAGTCACCTTGAATGTAAATGACCTCAGCTCTCCAGTTAAAAGATGTAGGCTGGCTGAATGGATTAAAAAACAAAACCCATCTATTTTCTGCCTACAAAAAACACATCTCACCAAGAAAAATACTTGCAGACTGAGAGTGAAAGGATGGAAAAAGATATTCTAACAGAAACCAAAAAAAAAAGCTGGTGTAGACATCTTAATATCAGACAAAATAGACTTTAACACGAAAAATGCTAAAAGAGATGAAGAATGATGTGACTATTATAAATGTATATGCACCTAATTACAGGGCACCTGGCTATTTAAAAGAAATGTTAACAGATATAAAGTGAGACACACTCCAATACAATAGTAATGGGGGACTTCAATACTCCACTTTCAGCAATGGACAGGTTAACCAGACAGAAAATCAGCAAGGAAATAACAGAGTTAACTGACACTATAGACCAAATGGACCTAATGGAGATCTACAGAACTTTTCATCCTACAGATGCAGAATACATATTCTTCTCACCAGTGCATGGAACTTTCTCTAGGATAGACCACATGTTGGGCCATAAAGCAAGTCTCAGCAAATTCAAGAAAATCAAAATTGTACCATGCATCTTCTCTGACCACAAAGGAATAAATCTGGAAATCGACAACTCAGAAATCTCTAGAGCATATGGAAACACATGGAGACTGAACAACATGCTCCTGAATGAACAGTGGATTGTTGCAGAAATCAAAAGAGAAATCAAAAAATTTCTGGAAATGAATGTACTTGACAATACAACATATCAAAACTTATGGGATACAGCAAAAGCAGTGTTAAGAGGAAAGCTTATAGCAATTGGTGCCTACATCAAGAAATTGGAAAGGCATTAAATAAATGAGCTATCAATGCATCTTAATGACCTAGAAAAACAACAGCAAACCAAACCAAAAATTAGTAGAAAAGAAATAATTAAAATTAGAGAATAAACAAAATTGAAACAAAAAATTACAAAAGATTAGGGCAGCGAAGAGCTGGATTTTTGAACAAATAAACAAAATGGACACACTGTTAGCCCAACTAACCAAAAGAAGGAGGGAGAAGACCCAAATCAATAATATTAGAATTGAAAAAGGAAATGTAACAACAGACACCACAGAAATAACAAGAATCATCAGAAATGACTACAAAGAGCTGTATGCCAACAAATTAGGAAACCTAGAAGAAATGGATAGATTCCTAGACACATACAACCTACCTAAATTGAGCCATGAAGACAAAGAAAACCCAAACAGACCCATAACCAAGATGGAAATTGAATCAGTAATAAAAACCCTCTCAGCAAAGAAAAGCACAGGACAAGATGGCTTCACTGCTGAATTCTACCAGACATTTAAAAAAGAATTGAACTAACGTCAATTCTTCTCAAACTATTCAAAACAACTGAAAGGGAAGGAATCCTCCCAAATTCTTTCTATAAAGCCAGCATCACCTTCATTCCAAAACCTGAAAAAGATATAAAAGAGAAAGAGAAATATAGACCAATTTCCCTAATGAACATAGAAGCAAAAATCCTCAACAAAATACTAGCCAATAGAATCCAACAACACATCAGAAAGATCATTCACCTGGATTAAGTGAGATTTATCCCTGGTATGCAGAGATGACTCATCATTCACAAATCAATCAATGTGATGTATCACATTAACAAACTGAAGTACAAATACCATATGATTATCTCAGTAGATGCAGAGAAAGCATTTGATAAAATACAACACCCTTTCATGATGAAAATTTTAAGTAAATTGGGTATAAAAGGAACATTCCTCAATATAATCAAGGCAATTTATGAAAAATTCACAGCCAGTGTCCTATTGAATGGGAGAAAGTTGGAAGTATTCCTACTGAGATCGGGAACCAGACAAGGACGCCCACTCTCACCATTGCTATTCAAGATAATCCTGGAAGTTTTAGCCAGAGTCATTAGGCAGGAAAAAGAAATCAAAGGGATACAATTGGGAAGGAGGAAGTCAAACTACCCCTATTTGCAGATGACATGATTCTATATATAGGGCATTCAAAAGACTCCAGTAAGAAACTATTGGAACTCATAGAAGAGTTTGGTAAAGTGGCAGGATATAAAATACAAACATAAAAAATCAATAGCCTTTGTATTCACAGATAATGCCCTGGCTGAGAAAAGAACTTCTAAGATCAATCCCATTCACAATCGCTACAAAAATAAATCAAATGCTTTGGAATAAATGTGACCAAGGATGTCAAAGATCTCTATGATGAGAATTACAAAACATTAAAGAAAGAAATAGAAGAAGACATAAAAAATGGAAAAATCTTCCATGTTCATGGATTGGAAGGATAAATATCATCAAAATGTCCATACAAACCAAAAGCAATTTACAGATTCAATGTGATACCAATCAAAATACCAAGGACATTCTTCTCAGGTATAGAAAAAATGATGCAAAAAAAAAAGATGGATAGACCAATGGATCAGAATAGAAATGCCAGAAATTAACCCACACATGTATAACCAAATTATCTTTGACAAAGGAGCTAAAGTAAATCTGTGGAGCAAAGACAGTCTCTTCAACAAATGGTGCTGGGAAAACTGGGTCTCCACATGCAGAAATATGAAACAAGACCCATACCTTACACCTTTCACAAAAATTCACTCCAAATGGATCAAAAACCTAAATCTATGACCCAACACCATCAAATTATTAGAGAACATGGGGGAAACCCTGCAAGACATTGGCATAGGCAAAGACTTCTTGGAAAAGACTCCGGAGGCACAGGCAATCAAAGCCAAAATTGATAAATGGGATAACATCAAATTGAGAAACTTCTGCACTGCAAAAGAATCACTCAGCAAAGTGAAGTGGCAACTGACAGAATGGGAGAAATTATTTGTAAACTATGCAATTGATAAAGGATTAATAACCGGAATATATAAAGAGATCAAGAAACTCAACCACAATAAAACAAACAATCCAGTTAAGAAATGGGCAAAGGAATGAAATGGGCATTTTTCAAGAGAGGAAATCCAAATGGCCAACAGACACATGAAAAAATGCTCAAGATCACTAGTCATCAGGGAAATGCAAATCAAAACCATAGTGAAGGCCGGCACCGTGGCTCACTAGGCTAATCCTCCGCCTTGCGGTGCCGGCACACCGGGTTCTAGTCCCGGTCGGGGTGCCAGATTCTGTCCCGGTTGCCCCATTTCCAGGCCAACTCTCTGCTGTGGGCAGGGAGTGCAGTGGAGGATGGCCCAAGTGCTTGGGCCCTGCACCCCATGGGAGACCAGGATAAGTACCTGGCTCCTGCCATCAGATCAGTGCGGTGCACCGGCTGCAGCGCACCGGCCGCGGCGGCCATTGGAGGGTGAACCAACGGCAAAGGAAGACCTTTCTCTCTGTCTCTCTCTCTCACTGTCCACTCTGCCTGTCAAAAAACAAAAAACCATAGTGAAGTTTCACCTCACCCCATTAGAATGTCTTTCATACAGAAATCTATAAACAACAAATGCTCAGGAGGATGTGGGGAAAAAAGTACCCCAATCCACTATTGGTGGGAATGTAAAATGGTACAGCCACTGTGGAAGACAGTATGGAGATCCTTCAGAAATCTGAATACAGATCTACCATATGACCCAGCCACCCCACTGGAATTTACCCAAGGGAAATGAAATCAGCATATGAAATAGTTATCTGTACCCCCTTGTTCACTGCAGCTCAATTCTCAAGAGCTAAGATATGAAATCAACCCAGATGTCCATCAACTGAAGACTGGATAAAGAAATTATGGGATATGTATAGCATAGAATACTACACAGTGGTAAAAAAAAAATCCAAGGGCTGGTACAGTGGTAAAGCCACTGCCTGCCGCGCTGGCATCCCATATGGGCACTTGTTTGAGTCCTGGCTGCTAAACTTCCAATCCAGCTCTCTGCTATGGCCTGGAAAAGCAGCAGAAGATGGCCCAAGTGCTTATGCTCCTGACTCCTGGTTTCAGATTGGCCCAGTTCTGGTGGTTGTGGCCATTTCGTGAGTGAAACAGCAGACAGAAGACCTTTCTCTCTCACTTGCTCGCTCTCTGCCTCCCCTCTCTGTATCTCTGCCTTTCAAATAAATAAATAAATTAAAAAAAAATTGAAATCCTGTTGTTTGCAACAAGATGGATGAAACTGGACATCATACTTAGTGAAACAAGCCAGTCCCCAAAGGACAAATACCATATGTTCTCTCTGATCTGCGATAACTAATAAAGTACATAAAAGGCAGTCTATAGCAGTAAAATTAACACTTCAAGATGCAATGACTGAGCAGCCTTTGTCTCAACTAGTGAGGAAAAGGCTTTTTTTATTCACACAGTTTACTGTATGAATATAAGTTTACTTAATCTAGAGTAAATCATATGTTTATAAAGTGAATTGAAAATAGATCTTAGTAAAAAATAAGAATGGGAATAGGAGAGGGAGGAGGAAGAGGGGTAGGAGTTTGGCTGGGAGGGTGGGATGGTGGGAAGAATCTATATTCTTAAAGTTGTATTTGTGAAGAGTATGAAGTCTGTATTCCTTAAATGAAAGGCTTCTGGAGATAAAAGAACTTTCTGAAATGCCACGAGGCGCCTTTGCCTGTGACACAGACATCAACTGACCTTTCAGTGAAGCCTCGTCTACGCTTCCTTGGGTCTCCTCTGCTCTGCCGTTATCAGAGGCACTTTTGGCGGAAATACCTGAAGCAGTATTTTCCTGCTCGGAACATTTTTCAGGGAATGAATTTACAGTTGAGATCTCTGATTCATAGCGGATATTCCCAGGCACTTTGTCGTGGTGGCGGCTCATAACAAGTTGATGCTTAGGTTGAGTGCTTCTGTCTGTTGCTGTAGTTGGTGAGTTTGCCTGAGATGTGACTCCTTCCATGGATTCGGGTGGTGCAGCTTCCTCCTGACTGGGAGGGGGTGCCTTCTGTACCTGTTCTAGGCTTCCATCTGGACTAGCTCCATAGCGTAGCAGTTTGCCATCCAAATCAGTCGGGCAGGCGGCAGAGAGCCTCTGGAATCCTTCTGTGGAAAAGCCACTGTTTTGAGTCGGTGTGTTCTCTGGAGTAGGCTCTCCCTCCACCTGCGCCGGTTCTTTCATGACATTTGAATCTAGAAGATTGCTACCAGCTGAGGTTACAGTTTCCGCATCACAATGATTCTTCACATCAAAAGTAGGGGTTTTCTCTAAATGTAGTTTATCTGGTCCCACTTCAATTGCAGAGGAGTCTAAAAAGGACAGGATGGCGTCTTCAGTGGAATACTGTCGTGCTATTGATTTCTTCGCCATATGTGGCCTAATCTGACCGGGAGACAAGGCAGCCATTGTGAGAGTATTCTCCTCCAAGTAGGGGAGATCCGCATTGTGGCCTTCTTTTTGCTTAATGTCTTCAGGCTTATGGATGGACCTAAGGTTCACAGATTTCAGGACCGTTGGTGTAATTGCAAGGGATGGGGGAGGATTGGACCTCAGTGTCTCTCCTATTGCATTCTGCTTATTATGAGTGAAAACATGCAATGGATGACGGTGGTGGAATGGTTTGTTCAACACATTATGAAGAGCACTTAGGTCAAGATGAGTAGGAGGTATAATTGGAAGTTCAAGGTCTTTACTCAGTGACAGGGCTCCATCTTTTAATGAGGGTTGCTGCAGTGAGGATTTCCTTTCTGGGACTTTAGGTTTCCTTTTGCTCCCACCAGGAGACAATGGGCCTGAAAAGAAAGCTGTAGGGAAAGAAGATGTGGGTGTTTCAGACTGGCTTGAGTAGCCGCTTGATGGAGATGCCAAGCCAGCCAGCTTTTCTGGGGAAGCGAGTTTAAACTCGTTGTCAACAGAAGGAAGAGACGGGGTTGTGGCTCTTGATTCTGACTGGGATGTTTGGGATTCAGAGCTCTCTGGGGATTTGATGCATTCAACAACTGTGGTACCCGTAGCAGTGCTCGAGTTGGATAAAGACCTATAAGGATCATTTGTTTTTAAGTCATTGAGAAGCCAGAGGTCTGCATAGTGAGTTGATTCAGCACCTTCATCTTTGAATGCTGGCATCTCTGAAGTGTCTAACTGAGCTTCCTTAACACCATGTTCACTTGGGGTCATCCAAGAAGGTTCCTGCTTGGTGGGGAGGCTGGCATTTTCCATGCGAGAAGGCGTGTTGGAGAAATCTAGAGGCAGCTTCATTTCCCTGGAACTGCTTATCTTTGGTTCTTTCTTCTCAGAAATGTCTGCATTTCCGTCAGACTTCCTCAGCGATGAGCTCCGTTTCGGTGGGGTTGGCTTTGCCTTTGGTTTCCTGAAAGAGATGCTTGGTCTCCCCTGCCTCCTGCGGTCTAAGTAGTCCTGCCAGGCACAGTCTGGAAGGCCAGGAGGAACCCCAGCACCCTGGCCGTTCTCTGGGCCTAGGGCTGCGTAGTGACAGACGTAGCTCTTGTCACCCTTGAGACCACAGTCAAAGTGCATGGAGGTATAGTATCCTTCTGTGTCTACTGAAAAGTGAGAGCTCGTGTCTGCTTTGTCAGATGGAGACTTCTCCAGGAAGCTGTCATACGTGGCCATGCTTGTGAGGCTCGGGCAGCCCAGGCTGTCCGCTTTGGGACGCTCGGGACTAACATCCCGGCGGCACGAGGCGTCGTGATGGTGGTGCAGGTAATTCCATTCGCTGTCACTCGCGTTGCTGTGGTTGGGGTCATCCAGCAGATCTGCCACAGTGGACGTGAAGGAGTTGGCCCGGTGGCCTCTCACTTGATCCAGGGGATCACTGAACTGCTCGGTCACAAACACGCTGGTGTCATCACTAGCATGAGGGGCCGTGTTGAGGGACAACTCCGAGTCACAGTGTGAGGAGCCAGTGAGCGGGGGAGAAGCTGCAGGAGGGATTGTCTCTGAGGTCTGGGAGGGGCACGTGGAGCTGCTCCCACTCCAGTTGCCACTGGATGACTGGTGATCGTCCTTCGGGTCCATGTGGCTGCTGAGGAGGACGCCGGCCGTGGACATGCAGTGGATGGGGCTCCCCAAGGTGTCTGAGTTGGAGGAGATGTCACAACTGCCAGAGTCAGCAGCCATGCGGGACAGGCGTGACCTCCCTCTCTCGCCTAACTTGTGCTGGGGGCTGTGCAGATGTGGAGAGCAGGCCAAGCCCAAATCCGACGGCTGGTGTTCCTGTGCACTTGGGCTGCCGGGAGCCTCGCTGCAATCATTGGGGGTTCTTTCATGGTCACCCACGAAGGGCTCGCCCTCCTCATATGCTGAGGGGTTAGCACCAACTTTGGGCTCAGCATCCTCGCCTCTGTTGCCCTCCCGGGGAAGGCTCCGGGATCTGGTGCGGCTGCTTGTTGCCGGAGTAAACATGGTGTCGCCTTTGTCCGCCAGGGCAGAGATGTTGCCAGCGGAATGCGAAAGGGAAGCTGCGATGCTTTGGCCCCTTTGAGCCCTGATTCTCCTTCTGGATGGGGCAGCGATCAGAATATCGTCGGTCTGGCACTCAGAGTCCCTGGTTCCGGACCTCCTGTTGACAGCATTGGCGGGGTCGGGGTTCGTGTGTACAATCACGTTCCTCTCCCTGGCCACCGGCGACTCATCAGAATCTAGAGGGCACGGAAAGCGCGACACAGTTCAGCAGCAGCCGCACACTAACACATTCTGGCATGCTAGAGCTTTGGCTCCCACGAAGAAAATCAATATATAAAATGAGACCAAAGTTAAACGTGCATTAGAGAATTGCTCGCTATATAAATATTTATGTGTCTCTACTGCCGTATACGGATGTGTGCATGTAGACAAGGGGTCTTCAAAAAGTTGGTGGAAACACTATGCATGGACTTCAAAAATTTTGTACCAAAATAAACTTGTCTTTTAATTCTACCTTCCATGAACTGTTTGAAATCTGGCATATGCTTAGAGAAGCTATGCTTTTATAGCTTTTGTGAATTATGTCTCTCTTTGCTACCACATTAGTTTACCCTAATAAGTACTCTTTAGTTTTAAAACCACAGTACATTTTATCTTCTTTGATACTACTCTTCATTTTTATGTAGTAATATAAGCATAATGAAATAAAAATCATTATTGACTTCATTATAAGACATAAAAATCTCATTTATAGGAGAGGCTACCAGGGGCTGGCACTGTGGCGTAGTGGGCTGAGCCTCTGCCTGCAGCACTGACATCCCATATGGGTGCAGGTTCATGTTCTGGCTACTCCTATTCCAATGCGGCTCTTTGCTATGGCCTGGGTCAGCACTGGAAGATGGCCCAGGTGCTTGGGAGACCTGGAGGAGGCTCTTGGCTCCTAGCTTCAGATCAAGCCCAGCTCCACCCATTGTGGCCATTTGGGGAGTGAACTAGCACTTTTCTGTCTCTCCCTCTCTCTGCGTGTGGCTCTACCTCTCAAATAAATAACTAAAATCTTGAAAATAAAAAATCAAGAATTTCTACCATAATAATACTTTTTAAAAAACCCATAAGCAAGCAAAGATATAGAATCAACCTAGATGTCTGGATAAACTGCTGACTGGATAAAGAAACTGTGGTGTATATACACAACGGAATATTACTCAGCCAGAAAAAGGACTGAAATCCTGACATTGGAAACAAAATGGTTGAGCTGGAGATCGCTGTGCTAAGTGAAATAAACACCCACATAAGTTTATTTTGCTGCAAATGTTTTTGAAGTGCATGCATAGTTTTTCCATAGTACACATTTTCTCTAAACATTTTGAAGATCCTTTGTGTACATACACACAGAAAAACAGATACCACATGTTTTCTCTCTTACATGGAATATATAGAGAATATAAAAAGGTACAGTTATTATTTTATCAAATATTCAACTATTGTTTCGAAATAGAAAGTTATTTCTCAATATGATGAAGAATGTATTTTTCTCATACCCTTGTTAATATGCCCACTTATGTTGATTTCGAACAGAAAAAGTTTGCAACGTAGAAAACCACACTTATTATTTGCTTTAGATGTCACCAGATCTTATTTGCTATTTTGTTTAGAATTCATGGATCTACTTTTTGTGACAGCTATTGGCCAGTACTTGCCTTTCTTGTAATAAATTTTGTAGATGTTGGTTTGAAGCTTATCTTGACCTCATAAAATGACTCAGGAAATAAACCCTTTTTCCCTATTTTCTGGAAGAATTTGTAGAGGATGGCTTTTTTGTTTGCTTGTTTGTTTACCCTGAATATCTCAAAAACTGCCATTTGACCATGTATTCCTGGATTTTTCTTTGTAGAATGTTTTAAATTAAGAATTCAGTTTTATTAGCAGATAGCAAACTGTTCAGATTGTTTTAGTCAGTATTGATAAATTAGGGTCTAGAACTATTTCCATCTCATTTGTAAAATAATTTAAAATAAAAAATCATAAAGTTGTTTAATTTTAATCATAAAATTAAAAATAAAATAAAACATAAAAAGACAAAGAGAGGGCCCGGTGCTGTGGTGTAGCAGGTAGAACCTGCAGTGCTGGCATCCCATAGGGGCACTAGTTCAAGAGCCAGCTGTTCTACTTCTGAACCAGCTCTCTGCTGTGGCCTGGGAAAGCAGCGGAAGATGGCCCAAGTGCTTGGGTTCCTGCACCCATGTGAGAGACCTGTAGGAAGCTCCTGGCTCCTGGCTTCAGATTGGCCCAGCTCCAGCCATTGCGGCCATTTTGGGAGTGAACTAGCAGATGGAAGATCTCTCTTTCTCTGCCTCTACCTCTCTGTAACTCTGCCTTTAAAATAAATAAATAAATATTTTAAAAAGAGAGAGAGAGAGAAAGAGAATAAGGCAAAAAAAAAAAAAAAACAATAGGCAGAGATATTCTAAATACACTGAAGAGAAAAAATGTCATGAAACATACCAGATAAGCAATTTTCAATATTTAACCAGGCATACTAGGAATCTACTTTTTAAAATAACTGCTATCATAAAAATGTGTCTCTTCAAATGAAGTTACAGTTTTCCAACCAAAAAGACCCTCTCATTGAACGTTGTTATTCTTTATTCAGACTTTTCACTTTAATACAACTTTTTAAAGTTAGCCAAAGATTACATCTTGCCTATAAGACCTGAATGTATATGTCTAAATCTATAAGGTTGAACCTTTAGAGTCAATAATAGAGAGTTAAAACGTGATACCACCTGGCTTGCTGAGCACAAAAGAAATACACACCATTTCAAGACCTGTACATATTCCAACACTTCATATTTCTCAGGAAGCCAACTGAAGGCTGGCTACCACTTCATCTCCTTAGACTCTGCACTAGACAGAATGTTAACAGGCACATTTTTATACCATACCTATTTCTTGTTGGACTCTTCTGGGGATACCCGAGATGGTTTTCCTCCTCCTCAATTTTCGTCTCCGCTGGAGTACGGATTGTGAATGAACAAGAGAGCAGCGTATACTAGCTTCTCTGTCAAAGCCAACTCCTGCAACCCGAAGAGCTCTCATTAGCCTTTAGAAATGGCAAATACAACTCCCTTTGCTTGGACCACAGTGATATTTATTGATTGGAAGTAAGGGAAGAATTTGGATCAAGACTCTGAACAAATATAAGGGGCCCCTTAGCTCTTTAAATTAAGCTGCAGGACGTAAGTTTTCCGTCTAAACGCAGCTCCCCGCAACAGCGCACGCTGCTGAAAGTACCAAGCAAAGGAGGAAAAACCAAAGAAAGAGAAGAGCAGAAGGCACCAAACACAGTCACGCTCACACAGAAATGGCTCCTTAAGGATATGGAGCCCTTGGTTCCTACTATTACTGTTCCATTTCTGGGCTCTCCGAGGCTGACTCCCTTGCGTAGTCCATGAGAAGCCCAGGTGTGAGCCTGAATTAGTTCAGCTAATGCGTCCTGACCCATTACTTCACTAAGCATGTCTTTGTGAGTTTTTCCCCTTCTACCTCCTGTGTCCACACCTTCCCCGCCAGGCACATGCACGTGCACACACCCTGCCCGCCCTCACTTGCTGTGAGGAAACTCACCAGCCTAGGGATTTGCTTTTCTCAGTCATTACATAATTCTACTTCCTTACACTGACTGCATTGAATGCTTCTGGTTTTCCACCAGGTGGCTTAGCCATATAAAATAAACACACAGGTCAGTCCCCAGGGCTGCACTGAAATGGACCCACCTTCCATGCCAGTGGTAAAGCTGGAATTCCCAGCCTTTATAGCATTGTTTGTTCATTTTTGTACACACAGGGGGCAAACCCTGGTGCTGGTTAGTTTCTCTCTCCATGGGTGCATGATGGACACTCCATGCAGTCTGATCAAAACTAGCACGATGAGGGAGGAGGTGAGGAACCCAATCTCTTGGCTGGCACAGGCATGCACCACGGATTTTTCAGAGTGAGCTTGGCCCCAGAAAGGCATAACGCTGTGCTTTGGAATTTGGTCACCTCATCATTTATCCTGATTGGTAAGCATGGGGTGGGACAGCATGTTAAATCTTGGTGCAGCTCTATAATGAAGCAGTTGAGTTCTGCTTAGCATCACAGTGCCCACAGTTTCTAGAATTCTCTTTGAAAAATATGCATCACATGATGATTAATTACAGTATTATCGGAGGATTCATACTAATGGAGTGTTCTTAGTTTTAACGAAAAAATTACCAGTCTTCATTCTAATCTTAGTAATTATAGAACACATGGTATACCGACACAGACACTGTGTGTTATATGGACATCATTAACAATGTTCTCATTAAGGCTCTTGAAATCAATATCTAATCTAGGCTTTAGTCTGACAGTTCCTGAAATAAAACAGAAGAGGGAAAAATCTTCCCTTTTCCTTCATCACAGGATGATGGCCCATAATCATAGTACTAAATTTGAAGACAAGATTTTACACACAGCAAGCAGGTGTTGTTAATAATCAGATGTTCCCAGAATGGAAAATTAGTTTAAGAGGGTGCCAAAGTGATGCATTTGGGCAGCTGAACTCTCTTACTATATTCCATTTAGATTATGGAGATCAGATGAGTGTACATCTTTAGAACAATCTGTCATACAAGTTGAATAGGTCATTAGGGAAATTAACTCCCAGTTCACAACCGGCCAGTCAACTAGCTAGTATGCCTTTTTGTCAGGAAGGATGTAACATCTGTCCCAGATAGCCAACCCATTTCCTTCCCACTTTAAGTGACAGAAATCTGAATGTGGTTAATAGTAACAGTGTCCAAGATGTGTCTCGAGTGACAGTCAATCTTTAGTCACATGATACCAAGATGGAAGTTAGCTATAACCCACCTGTTTTGACATTTTCAATATACACATAAGTTGAAATATAATTAGAGATATTTAAAGAAAACTCAATGGATAGATTATTTAATTGGTATATGTGAAAGTTAGAATATTTTACAGTATTACTTTACTTACAACTAAGATGACCAGATCCAAGTCTGGCATTTCCTAAATTTGGAAGAAAAGTCCTGCAAGGCTTGCCTTGTACCTGGACTAACATTCAAACTCTCAGTACACAAGAGGAAGAAAGCAGAGAATGAATGAAAGACAGGCTTGCTAGTTTAAAAACAGAATTCAGGCTTCATTCGTATACCCATACATTTTTAGGTAAAAAATCCTTAATATCATTACAGAAGTCCAAACAGTGTTTTTTTTTTAAATTTTTTAAGCCTATCTTCCTCCAAGGAAATATGAAAACAGATTTTCTAGTTTGTCCATAGGACCACTACTTGCAGCTCTGAAAACCTGGGGTTTTCCGTTTTCTTTCTGGCAGTGCCACGCACCATTATCATATGATTCACTGCGGCCAGTCTCTCCTTTATTTCAGCCTGCTATGGCCAAAGAACTATTGGGAAATCTTTTATTTCAAAAAGAAACTGTCCATCATTTAAATAACAAGCAACCCAGCAGAACATATGCAAATTAATGTTCAAAACCTGACAATAGCGTAGTGAACAGCTTCTGGGTTATAATTTGATGCAAAAGGTATTATTTGATACAGAATGGCAGTCTTAACTGGTAGGCCCAGCAGTGCAGCTTTTGCCCGTATTTCCTACACAGTGTATTCTGACCCACGTGCCCCCAAAGAAAGAACCAGAACGATACCAGTGACATTGATGGGAATAATGCAGGAAGAAATCACTTGGGCATCTTGTTTCATCTTCTCCTCCGGCGTTGGGAGAGGTAGCGCTTTGCTCCAGTTTGTCTGCTTGTCCAGTGTAGAGGGAATATTGTGTATTGGGTTTTTCGGCCGCTGCCCTAACATGACATCTGTATCTTCGTCCTCTGGGGGATGGGACTGCAAATGAAGTACATTCAGATTCAGCCATCCCAGTTCATCCATAAGCACACACACAGGGACTTGCATAGTTTAGAGGAGAAAAGTAAGGTCAGAAAGAAGCTTTTAGCACAAAGGAAGAATTCTGAGGACTAGTTAGTAAACACAACTAGTTGACAGTATGATTTCCATAGTGAAGCGACACAAAAGAAAAAAAATGGGCTAAACATGCTTTTCAGTATAAATGGAAGTAAGAAGAGAGACGAGGCAGCCAGAAATCACCAAACTGTACGTTGTGTGTCTAGAATCCAGTGAAAGGTAGGCCCAGTTGCCACCTATCTTGCCATAAATCGCTATGGAAAAATCCCAAGAACTCTGGCTGACTAGATCAAAGGAAATGCGCTGAGTTCGAGGCCTGGCGTCAGCAGACATTCCAGAACACATCACCTGAAGGACTCGGCTACCTAATCCACGCAAGCAGGAGTTTCAGGCATGACATTTTACAAAGTCATCACCACTGTACGCACACGGAAAAGCAAAAGTGAGGAACTGCTCCCACCACTACAGGGAAAAATACAAACGCCGTTACTAGGGGGCCAGATTCACATCGGTTTCCTTTTCAAATCTGGAAGTCCTAGTTTGTTTTCATTCAGCTTTGCCGTATGAAACGTTCTTCCAGCTGTGTAGTTCCAGGCTTTGATTTCTGTGAAACACTTGAAAACAGTCCCTCCAAACCTTTGATAAATATTAAGATTGTCTAAGTCTTATTTTAGGATCGGGATCCCAGCCCAGAGAAGTAAGAAGGCTCTATCCCATGTTTGATTTCAGGCTTGGGTTTCTAAACCAGCTCATTACAAAGACCCAGTTTCCACCAGTGAGCCTAGTTTTATTTCCATATGCAGTTTAGAGGAATGTGTATATCTGTATGGAATAAATAGTTTTCCTTCTTATTCCAGTACAGTTTTAAGATCTGTCTTAAGTTCAGAATCATTTAAAAAAATTTTTTTCTCTAGCTCACACTAGGAAGCATTGTGTCCTGTAACTCAGAGGATTTCACAGATTGCCACAGGAACTGTGCACAAGTCGCCTTAAAGAGAATATTCCAAGAGCACTTCTTTAAATGAACCCCCTGCATTCACTTACCTTTGCAGAAGTTTCTGGAAAGCCCCCCAACACCCCCCATGGTCTATGATCCCCCCCTTGGGAGAGATGTGCTCTCCATGAGTGTCTTAGTAAAATATCGCAACCTTCTTTCTCTCTTCAGCTTTCGTGCAGGTTCCCAGCGAAGCCAATAGCTCAAATAAAGTTCCAGCACAAAAGACTTTGTTTCCTAGGTAACTTCCAAAAAGGAAAAAAAAGTTTGGTGCATGCAGAGAGAGAGAGAGAGAGAGAGAGAGAGAGAAGAGAAGCCTGAGCACTGTGGTGAGCCAAACTCCCAGCAGCAGAGGCCTCATTGCATAGGGATTCCTTCCTGGAATAACAATGGGCTGAGAAACAAGGGAAGGAGAGTGACCAGACTACAGGCTCTGACCAGCAGCCTAAAGCATTTTGATCCAATTGGGACTGGGACAACTGGCTGCCAGAGAACCCTTTTGTCCTGTTCTCTTTTTGATTGGAGAATCTGAACCTTTATTGCTGTGAGAAATAGAGGGCAAGTTGGCATTTCTTTCCTGGGAACAACAAAGTACAGGAGCAGTGTTAGGTGACACCCAAGTTGCAAAGAAAACAGAGAACAAGAGCCAATGGCATGGCTGTCTAAATGCTCTATTATATAGTTCAAGTTAGGAAAATACCACCTTTTGCATGGATTTCAAAGAAAAAGTGTTAGTTAAGAAAACAAGAGAGTTTGCAATAAAGTTAAAAGAGAGAAGGAAGGGAGAGTGTCTGGAGAGAGCAGGAGAGGGCCGTGAAAGAATGTTCTCAGAACCAATACCTTTCTACTCCATGGGGCCATGTGGCAACACTCAGTGGGGGAGGGCGAGCGGGTGCTGTTAAACTATGAACATGAAATGCAAAAAAAGAAAGAAATTAAAAATGTGCACACAATACACAGTATACCTGGTTAGCTCAAACCTGTTATTATTGAGTGAATATACTAGGATAACTCCTTCCTCTCCCCTTTCTTCCTTCCTTCCTTCCTTCCTTCCTTCCTTCCTTCCTTCCTTCCTTCCTTCCTCCCTTTTTGTCCTCCCTCCTCCTCTCACTCTTAAATGAGTCTTTATTACTTGGCTCCAGTGCTTTCTTTAGTGTGGCCAGGTGCAACTTCCCAAGTTTTCTAAAGTCAGTTTCCTCATCTGTAGTAAGATAGACATCTACCCTCCAGGACTGCTTTGAGGATTAAATGAGTACAAACATGTAATATACATAGAAGAATCCTGGCATTTAATAAGCTCTATATGTTAATGTCAACTATGACTTCAATACAGTATTGTTGTTGTTGTTGTTGTTAGAACCTTACTTTATGGCTATGAAATATCTGTGAAAATGCTTCCCATGTTTTAGATTCCCAACCCCATCTGTCAATTTGGGAAAAATTGAATTTTTTCCCCCTTAGAGTGAATTGCAATACTCTAGATTACTCAACATTTGCTTTGTTTATAGACTACATTTGCAGACAGAACCAGTTTCACGAGTGTGTGCCCTTTTCGGTCCCACAAGACTCTATACCCAGAAGGCTCCCACCCTTGGTTTAGTGCGCTGTGCTGTCACTGTCTTGAAATTCTTCATTCTTGAGTAATGGGCCCTGTATTTATTTTCATTTTCCATTTGGCCCTCAAATTATATAGCCAGCTCTGTTTGGAGAATAATCTGGTAACCTGTTCCCCTTTTCAGGATCTACCAAGAAGGGAATTAAAATTCTTTTAAACTCTAAACTATCTCAGTGTTAGAGTCAGTTAGGTCCCTATTACATACATCCCATAGCATGGGTTTAATGAACATGAATTATCCCTGGATGTAGTTTTTCATCTATGAGAGTGTGAATTCCTAGAGCCACATTTAATTTTCCTTTCAGTCTTCCACGGTGCCAGCAAACTGCTTTCCCTGTCAAAAGAGCCCATCAAGATATTTGTGCACCTGAATGATACCGGCTCTCTGTGTTTTAACAGTGATGAGAAACCCAAATAAAGAGGCATGCTCATGATCTCAGAAGGAAGCAGATACTGCAGAACCCAAGGAACTGACCATCCTAGTACAAATAGGCACAAACAGAGGAAGCCTCGAGGAACCCTTAATTCCATCAGAAGGTCTCTGGATGGATGCAGGGCCTATGGCAGACATGTGGTTGTGGGGGGTGGATATTCAAGATCTAATCCTAGTCTCTTTTTATTTTTATTTATTTTAAAAACAGAGAGAAAAAGAGAACCATCTTCCATCTGCTAGTTTACTCCCCAAATGCCCAGGACTGGCCTAACTCTATCCCAGTGTCCCACCAGGGAGATAGGGACCCAGCTCGAGCCATCACCTGCTGTCTTCCAGGGTGTGGATTAGCAGGAAACGAATAGGAGTGGAGTAGCCAGGACTTGAATCAACCACTCTGACTTGGAATGCGCGTATCCCCAGCAAAGGCTTAAGCAACTGTACTATAACACTTAGAACCCCTATTTAGCTTTCTAAGCTTTCACAGACAAGGTTGCTTATTAGTTCTTAAGCAGAGCAAATGTCATCATCTGCTCAGGTCCAGTTAACTCTAGATCTTATTTAGGACCCTGACATTGCAAGTTCTATGGCTCCCTCACTGAAATGACCATGTTGACAGATGGGGTATATATGGCTGGAATTCAGGCACTAGCCTGGTTCGCTGGTAAGAATTAGTCACAGATCACGGTGTGCAGGTCTCCAGGAAGACTCTGGGGAGTCTAAACTCCAGAGGAAACTCCTGGAACTAGGCAAAGGGGAGCTGAAAGCAAAGCCTATACGGGAAAGGAACCCACTTCAAAGAAGCCATGGGCTTTAGTAGTTCATGAAAGGATTTTCAAACAGTTACACAGCAGAAATGGCAGGTCAGAAAACATATGAATGATAGTAATACTATAAATATTGGTTGTTCATCATAAATCTCCTAAATCAGTTCTCCTGTTAAATATTTTTGCCAGGAGTGAAGGTGAATAGATTTTATTTTTCATCTGAGAAACCCACCCACTCCATTAAACGATCAAGAGGAAACACCTGGCAATGACGAAAGACGTCATGGCTAAGTTTAGAGAACACAGACCACTCAGTTTGGGTCATTTTGATTAAGTCAAGGTCTCCATGTGTTATGCTTTACAGCAGATTCCTCTTCAGCTAATCTGCCTCTCTCCTATTTTGATAGTAGCATCACTTTGAACTTGGGTGCCAAAGGATTATGTTCTTTGGTTCCTCCATAGAGACAAGAGCACTCAAATTCCTCCTGATGGTCTGCATATTTAGAGTATTTATGTTTAAAATATTAAAACAGGCTATGGTTTTATTCATTGCCATGAATTAGTAACTGCCTTAGTATAAGTGGCTTATATGCCCTCCTTCCTGGGTATTTGGTCAAAGTGAAATTATTCTGATTATATTATTTTTTACTTGCTTATTTGAGAGGGAAGGAGAGTAAAGGGAGAAGAGAGGAGAGAGAGCTCCTATCTGCTGGTTCACTCCCCAAATGTCCCCAACAGCAGGGGCTGACACCATGGCCAGTAACTCAAACCTAGTCTCCCTAACGGGTGGTGGGGACTTAATTACTTGAGCCATCACCTGCTACTTTCCAGGGTCTGCATCAACAGAAACCTAGAATCGGGAGCCAGAGCCAGGAATCAAACTCTGATACGAGATGCAAGCAGTTTCTTTCTGAGATCATTTAGGGTCTCTCTACATTTTGCCCGGCACGCTGCTCCTTAATGGGTGCTGATGGATAAGGTTCGGAAAAGCTGCATGCTGAGCAAACTCGTATCAATGAAATTATTCTTTAATGGCTCTATTTAAATAAATTCTACCGCTTATTCAGAGAAATGCTAACCATGTCTTGTTCACAAATATATTTCTACTGTGTAAATATTGCTCAATAAATATTTGTTGTATTGCTAGCATCCCCATGTGCCTGGCATAAGCAAACAAAAATCCTCTCCTAGAGAAATAGCATCAAATCATTTGCGTTCACATGTAATTTTTTTAGTACAACATCCAGTACAAAGTGAAAGACAACAAAGCACAGGAGGAGATAAGACAGCATGAGCAAGGAGCATCTGAAACAACAGATAAGAGAAGTAGGCCCCGAGGGACACCTGACTTTGGAATTATCACTCAGTATAGGAGTGGTAGTGAACAACCTTGGTTTCCCCAGAATGTGTGTATGTGTGTGTGTGTGTGTGTGTGTGTGTGTCTGTGTAGCTAGGAGACCACTCATTCATTCAAGAGCATTTCTTTGACGATGGTCAAAATCAGTCACAGTGGGGGAAAAATCAACATATTTAGAGTAAGAATATTTTTCCTTTGTGGGTATATATATGTTCACTGTCCAATCTTTCAACTTTTCATACTTTTGAGATTTCCCATAAAAAAAAAAGTTGAAGAAAAATGCAATTCTTTCCCTTTCCAGGCTCCCATCTCAGCTGTTCTATAATTATTTTGAGAGGACTCAGACTTGAAATTGCAGCATTTTATGAGGATACTTCAAAAAGTTTCAAAAAAATAAACAAAAAATTTGTTTATTTTGGTGCAGAAAACTGGAATCCATGCTTAGTTTTTCCATAATATGTATTTTTTTTTTGACAGGGAGAGTGGACAGTGAGAGAGAGAGACAGAGAGAAAGGTCTTCCTTTGCCGTTGGTTCACCCTCCAATGGCTGCCGCGGCCGGCGCGCTGCGGCCGTTGCACCCGTTGCACCGCGCTGATCCGATGGCAGGAGCCAGGTGCTTCTCCTGGTCTCCCATGGGGTGCAGGGCCCAAGCACTTGGGCCATTCTCCACTGCCCTCCCGGGCCACAGCAGAGAGCTGGCCTGGAAAAGGGGCAACCGGGACAGAATCCGGCGCCCCGACCGGGACTAGAACCCGGTGTGCCGGCGCCGCTAGGTGGAGGATTAGCCTAGTGAGCCGTGGCGCCGGCCCAATAATATGTATTTCTATGCACGTTTGGAGGACCCTTTCATAGAATCAGTTACTGTTAGTCATGCCCATCTTGTTCCTGACACAAGATGCTTCTTTGATGCCTTCGCTTTATTTCTGTCCCTGCCAAATCCATCCATCCTACCCTCACATCCTTTCCTTAGCTTCCTAAGGGTTCCTTCAAAAAACCCAGAGTAATATTTATAACTGTTGTTTAGAACAAGAAATAAACATTATACTAAAAAGCAGTCAAAGAAATTTCTTTGGTGAAAAATGAAAGAATAATTTTCAAACTCCAATCTTTTTGTGGTGTGTATATGAGAACTGTGCATTTCTCTTCTTTTCTGGCTTGGAACAAGCATTTCTCTGAAGATTTCAAGGTTTCCCCCCATCTTTCTCTTACTGCCAGGAGGAAAATAAAAATTCTCTCCACACCATATTTTACTTTCTTTTGGGTTTTATTTTATATGCTGATGGGGGCTTATTTTGCTTCAAAACTTTCCAAGAGACATCTGTTAAAATGTTGTGGGTATTCCAGCAGGAAATGTTTTGAAAAATTGGCTTTGGTTTGTGATCTAACTGATACCACATGGCATTTATAGCAGTCAACTTTCAGAGCTGATTTATTACTATCATGCTGTCTTAAACATGAGAAATATTTACTGGGACTAGATGTGGTACTACATTTGAATATAGGAATAAAGTCTTAGAGCAAAGAAGTCCATTGCAAGTCAACTGAATTTCTAGTGAGAGGATATGGGCTCTTATTGTCATTCTCTCTTGGGGCTTGTTTGTCCTTAGGCCAAGTCTCTGTGAGATGGGGGACTCTGAGTGCCTCCTAGTTTTCTGTGCAGGAGCGTGTGTGTGGATGTGTTATACATAAATACGAAGTGCTTTGATCTTTCTCAAAGGCCTAAACAAGTCTGGCACTGCCATGGTCACGTATTACTCTTGTTGGTACAATGACAGAGCACTTTGATTCCCTTGACATGGTTTCAGAGTCTCCTGCCGGCTGGCACTGTGCTCTTATCTACCTAACATGTTTAGTAACATAATTTCTAATGCATCCTCTACTCCCCCTTCCCCTTTCCTCAGCTCTTAACATTCACCTAGGTGAATACCCACGGGAAAACAAAATGAGGAGGCAGGCAGAGGTTTAGGGGACATCCCGCGTTTTCACCATCATGCATTTCTCTTCCCTTTCCAAGTTTGACCTTTGTCACCGTTTCTCTCCTAGGTAGTCAGGGATCTTCAGGTTTCCTCAGAGGGCCTGAATGTAGCACTGTCACCTGCCATACTGTCTTCAATCTCAAATCCCCAATCCCCATCGCACTACACTCCCACAGAGCCTCAAGGCTAGAAAACAGCCCTGAAAATACCCTCATTAAGATACTGAGAACATCTTGTGAAAAACCCAAAGAGACAAATCTCTGAGGCACAATTCTGGACAGTGGCTGTTGACTGGGGGGGAGGACATTTGGGGACAGATGCTTACTGAGTTCTCTTAAGCACCTTATATATGTACATCCATTTAAAACACCAAAAGCATGAATAGCGAGGCTTCAGGAAAAAATCCCCTTATCATCAATAAGTTTATCTTCCCAAATCATACTTTACTTCCTTTCACTGACAGATATAGTCACCAACCAGTGTCTCAAATCTCCTAACAAGCACTTAGTAAAACAATACACAAGAGACAAATAAGCAAAGGTGCTCAATATCATTACTCATTGGGAGAAGTCTAATGAAAGCCAAAATCATATATGACTATATACAGAGGGGCTAAGCTGAAAAAGATTAATAATAGAGGCTACTTCAAAAGTTTATGGAAAATGGAATTAAAAGATATGTTTCTTTTGGAGAAAAAAAATGGAATCCATGCATGGTTCTTTCACAGTACACATTCATTGCCCACAAACTTTCTGAAGAGCCCTTGTATGCATGCATTTAAAATATTTTTTGCAGCAAGTTAGACTTATCTTTTCATTCCACTTTCCACAAACTGTTTGAAGTGCTTCTAGTGCTGGTGAAGATGCACAGCAACTGTCATGAACTGCAGTGTGTGGTGCACTGAAACATACATCTACCTTTGAATTCCTGCTTAGGTACACAGAGGTAAGAAAACATGAGCATGTTTACAAAAAGCCTCGCACAAAAATATTTATACCAGTTTTGTCCTTTAAAGGAAAAAAAAACAACTCAAAACTTGAAACAACCCAAATATCTACCAATAGCAGAACAGACAGATTGTGGAATGCTGTATTCCTATACCGGAATACTACACAGCAAGACTGAACATGCTATTGATATATGAAGTATCAATGTCAAAAAAGTATGTGGAGCAAAAGAAGGCAGACACAAAAGACTGTGTGCTGATTCACTTTGGCATCCCATCTTGCTGGTAGACATTTTAGGTATGAGTTCTGACCTTCAGGAGCACGGCTTGAATGGCAATGGCAGTGGTCCAGTTTTCACCCCAAGAGAGGCTTTCTGAAAGACAGCATGCAATCTTTCTCCTTTTGATCTCAGCTAGAGTGGAACCAAAATTCTTCAAGTAATGAAATGCAAAAGAACCTTATGTATTTTTAAGTTCAGGAACACTGTTTAATCACAACCTGCTAATGAAGCATTTTAAACATGCAGAGACTAAGAGAACCACATTTTTCGACATGTGTGGAAAGTAGTCCCCACATGAATGGAAAAGAGGGGGCTAAAGGGATCCCAGAATGGAAAACGCTTCTTGCTGACTGGTCAGCTGAGTCATTTATTCACAAGACTTGCTCTGTATTGTCAAGAACACAAAACAGGACCCACTGGACAATGCTGCCTGTAAGGCTGATGCCAGGAAGTATCTTATTCATCCTCTGCGGCCAGCTTTGCCAACTACTGGAGCCACTGCCAAGGGCCACTCCGTTCCATCAACCTCAAAGGTTGCTAGCACCACATAAAAGACATGAGTGAGGGAGGAAAAGGCAGGCCGGGCTTTGAAGTGCAGGGAAGAAAGAGTCTTTGAACTGCTACAAACAGCATCAGTACCCTCACCCAAATCAGAGAAGCCAGCAGCGTGAGTCAACAGACTAGCCCAGAGGCGTGCAGCAGCTGAAGAGATGTGCTTGTTCCATCCCACCCTCACTAAACCTTTGCACTTGAAACTCGGGCCAGGCCCGGTGAGGCAAAAGCTCAGCGCGGGCATATTTGACCCCACCAGGGCAAATTTTTTCAAAAAGATTTATCTATTTACTTTGAAAGTCGGAGTTACAGAGGGAGAGACAGATCTTCTATCTGCTGGTTTACTCCCCCAGAAAGCCACAATGGCCAGGGCTGGGCTGGGTCAAATCCAGGAGCCAGGAGCCCCATCTGGGTCTCCCATGTGGGTGGCAAGGACCCAAACACTTGAGCCATCCTACGCTGCCTTCCCCAGGCCATTAGCAGGGAGCTGGATCAGAAGTGGAGCAGCCAGGACATGAACCGGTGTCCATGTGGGATACTGGCATTGCAGGCAGCAGCTTTACCCACTATGCCGCAGCGCCGGCCCCAGAAAAAATCTTTTACAAGTAAAAAAGATAAGACCTTGTCAAATACAAGCCATGCGCATTTTAGTTACAGCTCTATGAATGTTATCACATGTATAGACTTGCATATCCACTACCACAATCAGATTACGGAGCTGTTCTTTTATCCCAAAAGCTCCTCCATGCTAGCCTTTCATAGTCACAGCCTTCTCTGACTCTGACCCTCTGGCAGCCACTAATTTGTTCTCCAGCACTATGGTTTTGTCTTTTTGAAAATATTATATGAGTGAAATCATACAGTACGTAACCTTTTGAGGCTGGCTTCTTTCACTCAGCATAATGCCTTTGTGATACATCCAAGTTGTTGTGCATATCAATAATTCACTGCTTTTTATTATGAGGACTATTCCATTGGCTCCCTGTATGAATAGTGAAAACGTCTCAGGTCTGTGAGCAAATGTCATCCTGAGAATATCTGTAATGATGTGTACAGACAAGGAATTTTATTGACTGTTCCACAGCCAGAATAATATTTAAAAGAGAATCAAAGAATTCCAAAACTAAACTCTTCAACAAAGAATTTGCTTTATTTCTCACAATATTTAATATGAACCAGACTTATTGGCTAATGCTTTCATTAGCTATTGTGCTGGGCATTAAGCTATTGTCTTTCCACTTTGAACCTATTCTGTTCGCTGCTCTGTGGTGCTAGGACTTTGTAAACATGTCTTCCTTGCCAGCTGCTCCCTGTGAGGGTGCACAGAGACCAGAAGGCTGGAAGAGGAAGAAGAGCCCTACTTCTTCCCGGTGCTCGCTGTTGTCAGCATTGCCCCAGCAATGGTCCTTTGCCCCAGCCGTGGCAACTTTCACCTGTTTCTGCACTCCACAGCCAGCCTCACCATGCCCTACTCTGTACCAGACACACCAGGCAGACCCAGTCATGCCTTGTCACTTTCACAGACGTCTAGATGCAGCTCTGTGTGGTCCTTCTCAGCTCTTGATGCATTAGCACCTGTCGGGCAGCAGCCCCTGCTTTAGAGGACTGGGTCTTAGCTCCTTAAAGACTTCCGAGCTCCTGAGACACCAGCTCCAGCCAGGCCGTGGCTTTTTCAGAGGTCTGGGTTCTAGTACTGCAGGGCTGCTCCAATGATGCCCTTTTCTCTGGTCCCCAAGTCCTAGGACGGTTAGCTACCTGCTGCCGTGACTATCTCAGTGCCACCTCATTTTCCCATTTACCTCATCAGTCTCATAATGATATCCTTGTATTAAATCCCCTCTGTTAAAATAGCTGTTGTGGTTTCTGTTTTCCTGACTAGACCTTGGCAGATAAAGCACATGGTATCAGACTTTCATCCTCTGGCTTGCTTGTGGCCAAGGCATCCAAACTCCTTGCTACTTCCTGACTCTGAGTCCAGTCAGGAAAACATGACCTAGTGTGATGTTCTGTCGGGGGTAAAGATGATAATGGTGTCTACAACTCATATTATGGCAGAGAGGAGAGCTGACATGGTCTCAAAAGAAAGCCACTTTTCATGATCTTTAAAAATGGGTACAGAGGGAAAAAAAAAAAACACTTGCTGTGTTCAATAGATCTATCCTTCATGTGGCAGGTGCTGTGCTGATTTTTTTCCAAGAGAATACTGCATCAGAACATCAGGTACAGTTAAAGTCACCTGCTGCTTCAAGACAGTCTGCAAGGTTCATCTGCATTCTGCAAAGACTGAACAGGTAAGTTATATGGGAGGTGTAACTGAAATCTTACAGTACAGACTAATACCAAGATTTTCTTTCCCTACTAAAGCAAAAAGGATACTCTAGAGATTAAGGATATTAAATACACACACACGCACACACACACTGATATTTTTATAACACATAGCTCTGATAATTTGTTATTCCTATGTTCAAAACTCTTCAATAATTTTCTAGGCTCATGACATAAGTTCAAACCTTTTAGTCTGACATTCAGGATCCTTCTAGATCTGGCTTACTGGAGCATTACAACCAGTGCCCTCTATTCTCATACCCTTTGCACTAGCCAAGACAAAGTATTGTAACTCTTATGTACATACTCCATCTTCTCCTTGTTTTTCATGGTCTCCTCAATCTGAAATTCTTTCTCTCTTCATGATCACATTGAAATTCCCAAGCTCTAAGGCTTTCTCAGTTGTTACCTTGGCCATAAAGTTTAATCCTGCCACCCCACCACCCCACCTCACTCTAACACCCATACCAATTAGGTATCAACACCTTAGAGTTGATACAATATAATTGCCTCTAGTATACATGTACTCTGGATGGCAAAGATTATGTCTCATTCTTTTTTTTAATCCTTCTAGTACTTATTAATAGTAGGTATTCAGTTATTTTTTTTTTTTTACAAAATGAAGAAATGAGTAAGAAGGCACCTGGGAGAGAGGGCATGGCAAGTAGAGAGATTGGTCAGAGAGTACAGTATAACTTCTGGGGAAGCATGTGCCATTTGGTGTGCCTGAGGTCTAAGGGCTGTGTAAAGGATATGTGGGAAATCCATCTGGAAAAGCAAGTTAGGATCCTACTGCAGAGAGTTAGATAGTTGGGCCTAGGGATCTGAACTTATTTCTTTAGGCAGAATGAAAGAATTGAAGGTCTATGTTAGAGAACTTAGATGTCAAATATTCTCATACTAAAGTTAGAACATTTCTTTTTTTAAAAAATATTTATTTATTTGAAAGGCAGTGTTATGGGGTGAGGGGTGAGAGAGAGAGAGAGAGAGAGAGAGAGAGAGAGATATCTTCCATCTGCTGGTTCACTTACCAAATGGCTGGGGGCATGGCCAAGCAGAAGCCAGGAGCCAGGAGCTTCTTCCAGGTCCCTCACATGGGTACAGGGCCCCAAAGATTTAGGCCTTCTTCAGCTGCTTTTTGAAGCACATTAACAGAGAGCTTGACTGGAGCAAGCTAGAACTCAAATAGGCACCCATAAGGGATGCCAGCATTGCAGGCAGCAGTTTAACCTGTTATACCACAACGCCATTCCCTAGAATTTTTCTTAATTGGTTTAAAGGAGCAAATTATCTGAGTTAAGGGGAAACATCTAAACTGAAGCAAGGGATAATCTGGTTGACAGAACCATTTTTAGACGGAAGGTAATAAATCAACACAATAACTTTCAAGGAGGTTGAAAAACTATGCAGATGTTATAGAAAATAAAACAGACTTGCCTAGGACCCTGTGGATATGTGTAACTCTTTGATAGCAAAGGAAAGGCTTGATCAGGGACTCTCAATCCCAACTCTACTGTAAACCAGTAGAACACCAAAACTCTCCAATAGAACCCATAGAAAAAGGGAAGGTTAGCCGGCGCCGCGGCTCACTAGGCTAATCCTCCGCCTAGCGGCGCCGGCACACCGGGTTCTAGTCCCGGTCGGGGCGCCGGATTCTGTCCCGGTTGCCCCTCTTCCAGGCCAGCTCTCTGCTGTGGCCAGGGAGTGCAGTGGAGGATGGCCCAGGTGCTTGGGCCCTGCACCCCATGGGAGACCAGGAAAAGCACATGGCTCCTGGCTCCTGCCATCGGATCAGCGCGGTGCGCCGGCCACGGCGGCCATTGGAGGGTGAACCAACGTCAAAAGGAAGTCCTTTCTCTCTGTCTCTCTCTCTCACTGTCCACTCTGCCTGTCAAAAAAAATAAATAAATAAAAATAAAAAAAAGAAAAAGGGAAGGTTAGGAGAGGATGGATAAGACAAGACAGAGCTAACGATGGGAAAGAGAATGAGGCAGTGAGATCTCTATCCTAGGGCTGGTCAAGAACACTGAAATGCTTCTCATGCCAGCTCCAGTCTTTGATCTTCTCTTATGGCTCAGAACGCCATTCTCAGTCTTCCAATTCCTTTATAAACTGGATTGCTTTTCCTCAGAACCTGCTTTCTTTCTTCTAAGACCCATGTTCCCCCTTTTTGGTAGAAAATAGTCATTGTTTGTAGCTCTGAACTATGACTACAGAGGTCTCGGTCCTAGTGTGAGTGATTTCCTCCACTTACTTCCCAGTAAAGCTGTTGGAATGTCCTCTGTCCTTTAAATGCACCTCCTTGGTAAGAAGAAAAGTATAAGTTGATGTAAGTCTTTTATTTTAACTCCGTGGATGCCACAACATGATAAGTTTCAAAAACCACTGTGGGAATATGAAATGAAAAACAATGCCTAATAAACTTTCCTGTCTAATTTTATCAAATCTGGAAAAGAATACAACTGTAAAGACAATATGTTGGAATGAGTTCACTGATGATCCTGATGATAAGGATTTATACCTCAGTGTTCCCTTGGAACCTAACCAACTTTTGCTCTAGGGGCTCCATCTCATGCCAACCATTTTCATACACTACCATACAAACCATCAGACATCCTACCTCTGGGTCACTCTGATGAGGCTTGGAGAGGGAAACCTGGTGAGACTGTTAGAGTCTTACTACATGTAAGTAAGGGTGACCCTCTGCACTATCTGGCTAGATATTAGAATCTAAGCCGGGAATTAGGCTTCAAGGGTCCCCCTGGGCCCTATCGCAGGATGAAAGCAGCAATAGGACATGTTTCAACCCAAGTGCCAACCCTGATCAAGTGCAGTCATGTGGACTCAGTGGAAAAGAGTGCTGTAATTGGGAATGTCTGCCTTAGGCTTGCAAAGGGGAAGAGCAGGTACATATTTCAAGTACTTGCAGATCTGGGCCTGGACCAAGGGACATGACTGATGAGAACAGATGAGCTTAACATGCCATTAAGCAGGGGGATGAGTGTGAACTTCTATGGAAAACTGACTTCACATTCTGAAACAGGAATCTGAGACGTGACAGCAAGTGCCCAATACCATGACTTCTAATCACCTTAGATCATATTTTCTCTGTGGTCTTCTATATTTTTCTATTTAAAGTAAAGAGATTGTGAACTAAGGATTTAGGTACTGGGTGTCTAAGTTCCAACCCAGAAACTGTGAAATATTCTCAGTATATATACTTTTTATTTTGAAATAATTTCAAACCTACCCCAAAAGTGGAAAAATAGTAGAGTTCCCATATACTCTTTACCCTGCTTTACCTAATGTTAATGGCTAACCTAGTCACAGTACATTGACTGAAACCAGGACATTAGCATTGATAAATATCATTAACTCATCTATTTATCATATTTGAAATTTTGCCAGTTTTCTCTTTAATTTCCTTTTTCTAATGCTGGATCCAATCTAGGACTGCACATGGAAACTGGCTGTCAAGTCTGTTTAGTGTCCTTCAATTTTTGACAGTTACTCTTTTTTTTTTTTTGACAGGCAGAGTGGATAGTGAGAGAGAGAGAGACAGAGAGAAAGGTCTTCCTTTTGCCGTTGGTTCACCCTCCAATGGCCGCCACAGCTGGTGCACTGCGGCCGGCGCTCTGCACTGATCCGAAGGCAGGAGCCAGGTACTTATCCTGGTCTCCCATGGGGTGCAGGGCCCAAGCACTTGGGCCATCCTCCACTGCCTTCCCAGGCCACAGCAGAGAGCTGGCCTGGAAGAGGGGCAACCGGGACAGAATCCAGCGCCCCAACTGGGACTAGAACCTGGTGTGCCAGCACTGCAAGGCGGAGGATTAGCCTATTGAGCTGTGGCACCGGCCGACAGTTACTCTTTTTCATGACCTTGACACTGTTGTACAGCACTGGTTAGTTATTTCATAAAATATCCTTCAATTTGGATTTGCTGGATGTTAGCTCATGATTATTGGAGGGGACAAGAGTCCCACAGAAGTATCATCACAATGCATCATATCAGGAAGTTCACATGCTCGTGTGTCCCTTTACTACTGATGTTAACTTTGGTGAGGACAAATCTTTTGTAGGGAGAAACTTTGAGATGATGCAAATATCCTGTTTCTCAACACATACCCAGCTAACTAATGCAGCATATATTGTTGTTTATGGCCTGTGATACATTACTATTGTGATAGTTGGTAAAGGGTGATGTTTTCCCCCATCATTACTTCTACATTTATTAATTAGAATTATTCTGTAAGAAAGAACATCTGCTCACCCATTCATCTATCTATCCAATTTGTTTCTTTGTATCAGTGTGAACTTGTGAATATTTATCTTATTCAATGTGTTATAATCCATTAACATATTTATTGCTGCAAGTGTCCCACACTTGGCCTTTGGGAGCTCCTCATTGGCTCATGTGCCCTTTTGACATGCCTCCCTACTGGTTTTTGAGCATTTTTTACATTCTGGTGCCGTATGACAGTCTGGGGTTATCTTATATTTTCCCTGACTCAGAATAAATCTTTTTTTAAAGATTTCTTTTACTTACTTTAACGTCAAAGTTACAGAGGGATGTAGAGACAGAGAGAGAAGTCTTCCATCCACTGGTTCACTCCCCAATTGGCCACAATGGCCAGAGCTGAGCTGATCCAAAGCCAGGAGCAGGGAGCTTCTTCCAGGTCTCCCATGTGGGTGCGGGGGCCCAAGAACTGCTTTTGGGCCATTGTCTGCTGATTTCCTAGGTGCATTAGCAGGGAGCTGAATTGGAAGTGGAGCAGCTGGGACTTGAACTGGAGCCCATATGGGATACCAGCACTGCAGGCTGGGGATTTAACCCGCTGAGCCACAGCGCTGGCCCCAGAATATATCTTTTTTTCCAAGGAGCCCTCTGCCCTATTATTAGCGAATGTTATTTAGAAACAACACCTGGGCACTAGATGTGCTCAGTGTTACCATAGTGGCATTTCTCTTAAGGCCTTCTGAGATAACATAGCTCACTATTATTTTTCTGCACATACACACACAAACACGTTTATTTTATATCTCTCCATATGCATCTCTATGTATACATAAGTGCATGTGTATGAGTTTACGCTGACATGTTAGATTCCAATCCAACACCACAGGGCTCATTCTAGACTTTCCCCTTTCCATATTTGTATCTTTTCTCCGACAGTAAGAACCCTGGATGTCATTATCTATAAAGTGTGTGTGTGTGCTTAATCCTTGTATATCTATAAAGAAGTTTCAGAATCACTACCTCATTTGCTTGTAGAAAACAAAGTTACTCATTAGCGTACAGTATTTTCACACAATTCTCTGCTTCTAGCTCTTCACTGTCACTTCCGGCGGATTGCTCCCCGAGGAGCTCCCGGCTGGGAGATGGGGTCTCAGGCCTCCACATTACTGCGGCATGAAGAGCTCGAGGAGATCAAGAAGGAGACTGGCTTTTCTCACAGTCAGATTGCCCGACTCTACAAGCGGTTCACCAGCCTGGACGTAAATGGGGTTGGGGCTCTCAGCCGGGAAGATTTCCTGCGGATTCCAGAATTGGCCATCAACCCTCTGGGAGACCGGATCATCAGCGCCTTCTTTCCGGAGGGAGAAGATGAGGCCAACTTCCGTGTATTCATAAGAATCTTGGCTCGTTTCCGACCCATCAGCGATAAGGAAAAGAGCAAAGATGCAAAGGGACCAGAGCCACTCAACAGCCGCAGCAACAAACTGCGTTTTGCTTTTCAACTGTATGATCTGGATAAAGATGACAAGATCTCCCGCAGTGAGCTGATCCAGGTGTTACGCATGATGGTTGGAGTGAACATCTCGGAAGAGCAACTGGGCGTCATGGCCGACAGGACCATCCAGGAGGCTGATGAGGACGGGGATGGTGCTATATCTTTCACAGAATTCGTTAAGGTTTTTGAGAAGACAGGCATAGAACAGAAGATGAGCATCCAATTTCTTGACTAAATGGCTGAGACCGAACTGCTTCTTGCTTTGAGAACTGGAATTGAAGAGCCCTTCTACCCACCAGTCCCACCTCTTTCTATCCTCCCCTTCTCCCAAAATACTTCTGCTGCTGCTGCTGCATGACAATGCGAGATGTACTCTTTCAACACAAGCCTGCCTTGGTGTAAACAAGGCATTATAGAATGGGACACCCGAGCCCATTTCTGTCCACCATACACCCATACTTCTCCATCTCCAAGTATCTTCTCCCCTATAATGCTGCTGGATGCCACCCATCCGTCTGGTCAGAGAAGGGGAAGGGAAGTTGTGCCAAGGACCAGCCACCCAAGCACTTCTACTGGACGTAGTGAACCCTCACATCCCCTTCCACCCTCTCCCACTTGTCCTTTGCTTCCAGATTCCATCACCCAACCTAGCCTTCATTTGGCCTTTCAGTCTCCCTGCTTTGTATTAACCCACAAAATAACCTATGTTCTATGTGGCACTCGAAACTATGCCTATTAAATATTTTTCTGACTTAGCAAGATGGTTCTGTGGTCTATACATTTTTATTTACCTTCACTCACACATGGGCCTCTGGGATGTTGGCTCCCCAGGAGCTTTTCAGGAGTCAACACTTCTCCCCGAAAATGGCACTGTCTCTCAGTTCTCCGTGTTCTGTTTTGTTGTCAGGGGCTGTTCGATGGAGCTGCTCTTCTTGAGAGGTAACAGGTGTCAAGCCAAGTGTCTCTGTGGCTTGCGCCGGTCCTTCCATCTCCTGCTTCTGATCCTCCACACATATACCCACATGACTACTCTGGTTAGGGCAGTGTGGATTCTTCAGCAACTAGCCATGTGCTTGCCCATTTGCTTAGTTTGAGGGCGCCATTCCTATAAGAATACTGCTCTGACAATGTGCTTCGGAGTTTTCTTATGGGTTTTTGAGCAAGGAGCTAGGTGTCCCATAAGGCCTCCTAAAATCACACCCTGTAGCATCATTTATGCTTCAGTCTTCTGTGCACTGGAATGTTTTTCACTTCACATTCCAAATAGAGAGACTACTGTTAAGGAAGTACTCGATTTTCCCTGTCCAAGACTTACGCTTTACCCTCACTATCTTGAAGCCTTTTAGACTTGGCAAATGATTAGCTGGAAGCTAGTCAGCTCCCAACAGGGGGCCAAAGCATTTAGTATTCAGCATTAGCTGCCTGCTTACACTGGCTTCCCTGCTCCTCCCACAGACCGCTGCTAATCCCTTAGAAACAGGGAATCTGGCACTGGTGGCACAACCTGAGGTAGAATGATAGCCTTCTGAGAAAGCCCACATGGCTTCTTTGCCAAAGTCAGCTTAGTTTCGACCTCACTGATTCAGGCTGTTGTCACCCTAACACCTGTCTGTGCAGGTGTCTTCAGTCAAGTTATCTGCCTTTGGCTGACCTTGTCTGCCTCACTGCTCACTTCCTCGCTTAGGGAAGAAAATGTACACATATTCCTTAGGAAAGGAACAGCTCACGAGGACCACTGCTAAGGGATAGGGAAGGGGTGGGGAACGGGGACCAAGTAGGGTGACTCCCATATAAATGAATTGGGAATCTCTTTGAAGTATCATTGTGTCTTTGTGATTAAGTGATGTAATACAGACATCATATAAAAGGAGAAAAGTGTCTGATAGTTATCTGCCAGGTACCCCAGTGGCTGTTTAGCTTGCACATTGCAAGTTCCTAAGTTGATGGCCTTCCCCCTTGTGGCTACATAACAAATGGTTTTAATCCACAGGTGTGTCTTGTTCATCCATTTGCAAAGATATTCATGAGTCCATCAAGACATATTTGTGGTTAAAACAGAACTATTATTCTCTAAACTTACTATCCTTAGCTATTTTCTCCCCTGACCTCCTCCAGAATGCTATTTATTTCAATATAGTTAGGTTTATTTGTTGCTGTTTGTTTTCCTTTGGGGTTCGCCTCACACTCTAGCTGATGTGGTACAATTGATTAAGCCACCACTTGTGACACCGGCATCCCATATAAGCACCAGTTTGAGTCCTGGCTGCTCTGCCTCTGATCCAGCTCCCTGCCAATGAGTCTGGGAAAGCAGCAGAAGATGGCCCAAGTGCTTGGGGCCACTGCCACCCACATGGGAGACCCAAATGGAGTTCCTGGCTCCTGCCTTCGGATCAGCGCAGCTCTGGCCATTGTGGCCAGCAGATGGAAGACCTCTCTCTCTGTCTCTGTTAGTCTGCCTTTCAGATAACTCTTTTAAAAAATTACTTATTTATGGGGATAAGATATCTGAAACATTACCTGGGCTCTAAGAGTGTTAGCTACACAAAAAATATACACAGAAAAGTATCAATCCACCCCAATCCTGCTACATCCTTCACTTTGCCCTATTCTTTCTAACGCATTTCTACGGAACCCCTGTAGGGAACACCATCTCATTTGCTTCTGATCTATCCTTCCCACACTGGTAATTTTGCGATTCCTGTCTTGGAAAGGCGAGTGTGTTTGAATATGACTGAGCTCTTCAGAGAGTGATTGGAGTATAATGGGAATTCTGCATGCATGACTTCATACGTGAGAACTGGAAGTGAGCTCAGCAGCCACACCCAAGCTGAACTGAGCTGGTGACCACACAAAACACGCACACCTCAAACACCTACCAGCTACCTTGTCCCCGCCTGGTGTGAGCAGCTTGTCCACGGCCAGTGTGACCACTTTTCCCCCAATTTCAGACAACAGCCCTCCACTTCTTCCCAGCAACTCACCAACTGCAGCTCTTCTGGCAGTCATTTCCACAAACCAACTTCAGGGATTTGTCTAGGTGAAGAGCCTATTTCTTATATTTATATATTTCTTTTTTATTAGTTCTTTTGACAGATGAGTTAGACAGTGAGAGAGAGACAGAGAGAAAGAAAGGTCTTCCTTCTGTTGGTTCACCCCAAATGGCCGCCACGGCCGGCAGGCTGCACCGATCTGAAGCCAGGCCAGGTGCTTCTTCCTAGTCTCCCACGAGGGTGCAGGCACCCAATCACCTGGGCCATCCTCCACTGCACTCCCGGGCCACAGCAGAGAGCTGGACTGGAAGAGAAGCAACCGGGAGGTAGAATCTGGCACCCATATGGGATGCCGGTGCCACAGTGGAGGGTTAACCAAGTGAGCCACGGTGCTGGCCCCAATTTATATATTTCTTAACTACTTAACCTGTGTAATACTGTGTATTAGGTTTCTGTATGTGTGTGTGTATAGAGCTCTGTGTGTGTGTGTGTCTGCGTGTGATGGAAAAAGCTTTTTTGTATTCCTATCTCTATTTCCTCCATAATTCCTTTTTTTATTGTGCAGTTTTACACACTGTGTAGACTTTCTGGAATGGATGTGTTGTGTACAGCAAAATTGACTATTTTATGTAAATGAGTGGGTGCCTCTGTATTTTCTTATATACTCTTCTAACACAAAGGGGAGCATACTATAGACACTCTTGGGCTTTGCCTTTTTCACTTGAGAGTAGGTTCTGGAAATCATTCCTTTCTAGTTCACAAAGTTCTTTTCTGGGTTTTAGGGTTGTGTAGTCCTCCATGTGCGGATCTCCTGTAGTTTATTCCATCATTCTTCTATGAATAGGCAATTTGGGTATTTCCCATATCTTGTCATTGTAAACAGGGCTGTAATGAATAACCTTTTTGTTTTACTGTGGATGTATCTTTGGTGCGGACAGTTTTGTTAGCTATTGCCCAATTCCCCCCTAGAGAGATGGAACCAAGCATCCCACCAGTAACATATGAGAGTGTTTATTTCTCCACCGTTTTCACTGGGAGACATGTTGTAATATTGTTTAATATTTGCCAGTCTAGTAGGTGATACATGATATGTGACTGAACCTTCTAATTTGAGTTTGAACCACCTTCTTTAAATTTAAGAAACATTTTACTATTTTCTTCTGAATTGTTTATTCACATCTTTCCCCATTTTCTCTTCCCTGTCCCTGCCCTGGCAAAAGCTCATTGTTTTGATACTCACTTAGCATTCCCAGTTTGGACAAGAAAGCTAAATTCTCCAGGAATTCTATTTGGAGGCCAATGAGTTTCAGTAATTGGACTTTTGTTTAGTGCACAAACACACCCTACTGGGACACCCCTTTTTATCCCTCCCTTCCCATAAATAAGTGGTATCCTGCCACTTAACAAGTTCATTTGCAGCCAAAAGTTCAATCATGTGGATAGAAGTTGATCCCGGGCAGTTTTTCTTTCCTGTTGCCCTTGGGAACAACCCTTTTACTTATGAACTTTTTATATTTGGCTCCCAGCCAGGCCCAAAACACTCTGTAGGTCCATTGCCAGTCTAAAGCTGTGTTTTCTGCAAGGAATTAAAGAAAAGTCTGAGATGCCACATGCAAATTTGGTTTTGGAGAAGTTTGTTTCACTATCTCCTCTGTAGCTGAAGGTCCATAGTAGCCTAATGCTTCAAAGAAATGACATCAAATGTCTTTCCTAAAGGCTAAATAGCTGTTAGGGCTGATCTGTCTTCTAATAAGAGATAGCTACCTAGTCTCTGGCTATAGAATTTTCAAATCTAGAAGCAGGATAGAAGAGATTCTATCTTTTTAGAGTGCATTTCTCTGAAATTTTCTTTTCCATTCTTGATGAGGAAGAACTTCCAGATGGGCTTTAATTTGAGACATGCCAAGAATTTGGTTCAGTTACCTAGGAGTTTCCCTTGGAGAAATTTTTGTATAAATCAAGCGTCAAAAAAACAAGCATCCCCTCTTCTCACTTGTAGGAGGTATGGAGTTACTTTAGAGTCATCACTGAATGTCACCAGACAGATGTCCCTTGGGAACTTAAAATGTTCTGCGCACTCTTAGGAGTTCACTGTGCTCCAGGGCATCTCAGCACACATTTTGGGGACCAAAGATTCCATCCTTTTCTCCTGTGCATGCCTGTGTATACAAACACACATACATCCCCACAGGAGGATACTTCAAAAAGTTTGTGGAGAATGGAATTCAAAGATAAGTTTACTTTGGTACAAAAATTTTGAAATCCTTGTATAGTTTTTCATAATATACATTTTCATGAACTTTTTGAAGACTCCCTAATATGCATGGATTTCAAAACTTTGTTGGACCAAAATCAATTTATCTTTGAATTCCATTTTTCCAGGTCTCATTTGAAGTACCTGTATATACACCCATAGGTATTTTATGAGATCATATAAAAATTGATGAACTGTTAAAAAATCTCTACTGATAAAGCATACATTTTCCCATATCATTAGTAATCTTTTCTAACACTATTTTTCTTAAACTATTTTATTTTTAAGAAGTTTTGAGGGGCCAGCGTTGTGGCAAAGCAGATAAAGCTGCCACTGCCTGCAGTGCCGGCATCCCATATGGGTGCTGGTTCATGTCCTACCTGCCCTACTTCCAATCCAGCTCCCTGCTAATGCACCTGGGAAAGCAGCAGAGGATGGCTCAGGTGCTTGGGCCCCTGCACCCACATGGGAGACCTGGAAGAAGCTCCTGGCTCCTGGCTTCAGCCTGACTCAGCCCTGGTCATTGTGGCCATCTGGGGAGTGAACCAGCAGATGAAGGATCTCTCTCTCTCTCTCTTTCTCTGTCTCTCCCTCTCTCTCTGTAATTCTGACTTTCAAATAAATAAATAAATAGATGTTATAAAAGACTTTTTATTGTATAATTCTATACAGTTTTATGTATCAGGATTCATTGAATTAGGCCCTTATTGTTGGACATGCAGGATATTTGCATTTTTCCTATTGTAAATAATGGGTTTTTAAAGATTTATTCATTTATTTGAAAGGTAGAGCTACAGAGAGGCAGAGGCAGAAGCAGATAGAGGTCTTCCATCCACTGGTTCACTCCCCAGATGGCTGTAATGGCCAGAGCTGAGCTGATCTGAAGCCAAGAGCCAGGAGCTTCTTCCAGGTCTCCCACGTGGGAGCAGGGGCCCAAGGAATTAGGCCATCCTCCACTGCTTTCGCAGGCCATGGCAGAGAGCTGGATCAGAAGTGGGGCAGCCAGGACTCAAACTGATGCCCATAAGGGGAAGTCAGCACTGCAGGTGGCAGCTTTACCCACTGTGCCTGGTAAATAGTGATTTGATGAGCATCCCTAGTGTATAAATCTTTGCATACACTGGTTATTGCCTTGGGGTAAATTCCTAGCTGTAGACTGCTGGGTGAAAGTGTATGAATATTTGGAGTTTTGCCCATTAGAAAGGGTGTAACAAATTGTAGCTCCTCTAGTCTTAGATGTGAGTTGACTTTATAGGCTTTTCACTTGGTCACAAGTGGTTATGAATAGAGATTCAGCTATTCAGGTATGTAGGCACTGTGCTGGGCACTAACACACAACTTCATCTTATGTATTAACATCATTTTAAGTCCTCTCAATAGCCATATAAAGATGAAGATATTGCACCCATTTTACTGATAAAGAAAACCAGAGCTTAGAAAGATAAAATAACATTTTCTAAATTACACAACCAAAGTTGCAGAGCCGGGATTTAAACTTAGTTATACCTATGATCTTATCGCTGGTTTGATCAGCAAATCATCATCATCATGACTAATATTTATGGAGTGCTTATTATAAATCTAGTACTGTTTGCATATATTAACACCTTTAATCCTTGTGCCAAACCTATGAAGTACTATGTACTTTCATCACTGAGATGCTGACATGAAGAACTGGTCCTGGATTCAACAACTAGGGCATAGCAGAGCTGGCATTTAAATCCAGGCGGTTTGGCTTCACAGTCTATGCCATTAATGACCAAGGTGCAATATCAGCCCGCAGGGGTGTGGAAGACTATACATGAGAATCTCACTGGGAACGCTTGTTTGAAGGGAGAAACAAAATGGCTTACCTAAGTCTCCTAGAGGAAAGAAGGAGAGTTGCTGTCTAAGAAAATGTCTAAGTAGCAATGTGCTGTTTAAGATGTCAGACAGGACTTCAGCCGCATTACCTCCTTGAGCAACATACAGCCTTGTAAGCTTAATACACAGAGCCGTGCTCCAGCTAGGGCTGAGAAAGAGAACTTGAATGGCAAATCTTCTCACGAATTTGGTGACCCAAACTCAACTGAACAAATGAGACAGTTAAAATGTCTCCCAAGTTAGTCAGAAGTACTAACTACTATCATTTCAGGTGGGCAAACATTCCAAAGTTTACCTAAGTAGCCTAAGTCCTCTCTTGCCCATGTTTGTGGGTAAATGAAGCACCCTCACTGCCATTCATTATTTTAAGCCTTTCCTTATTATTTAAGCCTTTCCTTGTTATTTTGATATTACTAAAATCATGCAGATTATGAGAAAGGGTTATGTTTTTATGTCATTTTTAGAAACACGATTCTTCTCTCTCACCTCCCCCCACAATGAATCCAAACTTAATGAGCCACAAAACACGTTATAATGAATGGGAAAAGATATTTTTTAGCATTTTTATGCAGAGAATGCCTCATTAAAAGCAAATGCTTCAGCAAGCTGATTTGCGCTTAATAAGAATTTCTGTCGAGTAGGGGCCTTTATGACAAATCACTAGCATGTGTAACTGCTTTATCTGAAGCACTGGAAAGGCACAAGAGGTGCTCGCCTCCTTTTCTTATCCCGAGGCTGCACGACAGCACTGTAAAGTATGTGACATGCACCCAGTATGCACTTGTTGAACACTGGAGGACACGGGTGCCACCCACCCAGCTGCATGGGGGAACAATGTCCATCTATCAGCCAAGATGGTTCAAGGTCCTATCGAGATATGTATAGCAAGTGGATTCTCTTAAATGAAGTCAATCCGCAGCTGGCAGTTTTGCACCATGTGACCCATATATTTTACATATTGAAGAACCCATAGGATGCAAGGTTTAGAGTCAAACATACTAATTTAATTTCAAATAAACACCTTGACTCGTAGCCACACTGTTCTAGCTGCTCTAGACTTTGATAAGAGAGCATGAGGACAGACACCCAGGCAGGCAGCATGGGTTGGTCTGTGCACAGAAACCTTCCATGGTCCTGTAACCTGGAGGTGTGTGGTGTTCATGTGTCCTCATTGAGGCTCTGGGAGCCACACGTGCGGGGATGTGTTGGCAGTGGGGGCTGACGGTGTTTGCAGGGCTTCTGAGCCAGTTACATTAGGAGGTACAGCTAACTTCCTTTACCGAAAGGGAAGCGTGTCCTGGGGATACAGTTCACCTTCAAGCGGTCATTTTGCACACCACTTGGGTTCTCTCCCAGCTCACCCCACCAAGTCAGCCACACCAGGCCTTGGTCTGTAATCAAAGATGTGGCAAGGGGGATCTTAGCATGTCAGCCACTGCGCTGAGCTCTTTACTTGCTTGACCTCATTTACTCCTCAAGCCCTAGGAGCCAGATGCTATTCACAGATGAGAGAACTGGGGGCCAGGAAGGGAAGTGACCTCTCCGAAGCGACTTCTGTTTCTGATTTTAGGGCCTTTAACTATCATTCCTGAGCTGCACTACGTACTCTGCTAACAACCACCACATGAATCTGTATACCTGTTTTATTCCCCCCAAAAGAGGCGCTCCCTCCTACCATGAAGGGGACATGTTTGTTCCCAAATGCTCACGATTGGGTCTCTCAGCCAGCTCAGCCTCCCCCTCCAGGAGGTGGCAAAGTGAGTCCCAAGGCAGACTCGTGTTTCCCGAGGAGCCAGCCAGGGCTGCTGGTGGCCAGCACGCGCGCTCACCGTGAGGAAGTGGCGCTCCTTGGCCTCGCGCCTCCGCTGGCTGTGAGTTGGAGGGTAGGCGGGCAGTGGAGGCGCAGCTACGGACAGGGGCGCAGCAGCTCTCTGCTCTCGGCGGTCACTCCGGCTCCGGTGCTCTGAAGAGGACAGAAAAAGCAGTCAGACTGGAAAACACCAGGCAGTCTCAGTTTCTCCTTCCACTTTGGGAATTAGCAAAAGGCTATTTATTTGGAAAAAAAAAAAAACTTGGAATTTCATTAATACTGTTTTGCTGATTTTCCGAATGGCTTCTGACCATCACTTCCTACTAATGGGCTTAGATACACCCATTTGGGGGGCGGGATTCATCTCACAGTCTTTGAACTTTTGGGTTCAGTGTGCCTGGTTGGGAAACAACATGAGCAAAAACAAACAAAAAATGGAGGCCCACGGTGGAAGATTTGTCCCCATCAGTGCTGGGGTCATCCACTGGGTGCTGGAGCCCAGCTCACACGGGCTGGGGGAGCTGCCAGCTGCTTTTTCAACTTTGGTACCCACAAACAGGCCGTGGGGTATGCCTTTATTTTTATTTTTATTTAAAAAGGTTTTATTTATTTATTTCAGAGATAGAGTTACAGAGAGACAGAGACAGAGAGACAGAAAGGTCTTCTGTCTGTTGGTTCACTCCCCAGTTGGCCGCGACGGCCAGAGCTATGCTGATCCAAAGCCAGGAGCTTCTTCCAGGTCTCCCACGTGGGTGCAGGGGCCCAAGCACTTGGGCCATCTTCCACCTCTTTCCCAGGTCATCAGCAGAGAGTTGGATTGGAAGAACAGCAGCGAGGACAAGAACCAGCGCAGGCGGAAGCTTAGCCTACTACACCACTGCACTGGCCCAAGGGTGCGCATTTACATCCCCAAAGTGGGTAAGCACCACACATCAGGGCTTTTATTCCTCATCTTCCTTGGCTCAAGAGTCTCTCACCGCAGAAAAACCCTCAAAACCACAAAAATAGTGTTTGCTAAGCTGTCTCCAAAGTCACTGTTGCTCAGGACAGCTTTTTGAGATCGATGTTTTCCTTGTTAAAGGAGCTGCCTCTGGTGCCAGCCTTACTTTTCTCTTCTCACAGTGGGCAGTACATGGAAACATTTTTCCAGTCTTCAACTCATACAGAGAAGTAGCATGCACGTGTTGCTGGTTAGGAAGAGGTGGAAGGAGCGGAGTAGTTAGAAGAGGGGCATCAACTTGAGTACCCATTCAATTGCTCCCCTCCCACACTATCTTAGATATCTCTCTTTCTTTGCCCTAGGCAGAGTAGGCAGGCTAGATTTAGGGCTCCCTAAGAACACTTATTACAGGTGAGGAGAGAACATTGACCTAATTGGTGCCTCGAATTGCAGTAGAATTGTGATCCCTATTCCCTTAGACCAATAAAACTTAGACCTCGGTCCAAAACTTGAAAGAAAAGGAAATATAAAACAGGATTATTGATAAAGTCACTCCTTACTCTCCCTCTTTCTGTTTTATGAACATAAACTATCTCATCACTTAAAGCAATTATTGGCTCCGAACGTTAGAGAATTCTAAGAAAAAGATCAAAAGGATAATCAGATTGAAAATAACTTGAAATCCGTGTAGATACAGGTTCCTCATATCACTATATTGAAATGACCCGGCTCCTTGTTTGTCTCCGCCTCTACACCAGGGATTCCTCGTAGGCAGTGTCTATACTTCATTGTTCTAGTGCGATGTCTGGCCTTCAATAGGGTTTGTTGATGGGCTGCTGTGAAGCAGTTCTTGAAGGTAGTCACTATCTGGGTTCTAATCTCAGTCCCCCAGCTCCCTTCTTCCAGCCCCGACTCCAAAAGCAGCACAGAGTGGCTGCCACTGGTCTGACTTGCCTATGCTTCATTTCCACTCCCTCCTGGTGGAAGCCAGGCTATTCCAGCTGTCCAAATAGGGGGCCCCCAGGGAAGCTCGCTGCCGAATTGGCTGAGCCCAGCAGTTGTCTGAGAGGCTGGTATTTCTCCCGGCCACCAGATGGCAGAAGTGGATCATACTGATGAACACACTGCTTGGCTACTGTGTTTCTTGGACAAGGTTAAAAAAAAAAAGTCACTTTCTAATTTTAATTCTACACTGCATGTTTTTAATTCTATGATGCCTATAATTCCTGTTTATGGCTCTCTGCAGTGCTATTAAAACTACTACACCCAAGATTTGCTATTGAGTCAACCACAAAACAAGCCAGTCTGTGCAGGGCAAGACGCAGCTCCACAGTCTTCCTTCCAAGCCCCCAGGAGGCTCCATATCCTCTCTCACCCCCCTGGAGGAAGTTCAGAGAAAATTGATATTGCCACTTGCTGTTCTTCAGTTCTGCCATTAAGTCCAAACCTGACAAAGCACTGAAATGCAATTGCTTACAAGCAGCTCAGGGTTATCTGGTTGAATTTGGAAGAATCTAATCACAGAGGACTTATTAATAACGATAAAGGGATAAAAATAATTACATTTAAAGGGCTAACATTACTCAAATTCTCTAATGTAGGGATCTGAGAAAATATTTAGTGAGAACAATCAGATTCCTGAGCAGTCACCTTGTGTCATCCATGCTCAAGCAGTTTTCTGCAGAGGTTGACTCAGTTCTACATTCCTTGAGGCCCTTCTCTATGTCTGGCCATGCTGAGCACTTTGAATAGAATCAGTTCATAAGCTATCATCCTTGCCCTGGAGTTGCTCCTGGATTAATGGTGGAAGACAGGCCGGCGCTGTAGCTCACTAGGCTAATCCTCGGCCTGTGGTGCTGGCATCCCGGGTTCTAGTCCCGGTTGGGGCGCTGGATTCTTTCCCGGTTGCCCCTCTTCCAGTCCAGCTCTCTGCTGTGGCCTGGGAGTGCAGTGGAGGATGGTCCAGGTCCTTGGGCCCTGCACCCACATGGGAGACCAGGAGGAAGCAGCTGGCTCCTGGCTTCAGATCAGCACAGCGCACTGGCCATAGTGGCCACTTGGGGGGTGAACCAACGGAAAAAGGAAGACCTTTCTCTCTGTCTCTCTCTCTCTCTCTCTCTCTCTCTCTCACTGTCTAACTCTGCCTGTCCAAAAAAAAAAAAAAAAAAAAGAGCAAAAAAAAAAAAAATGGTGGAAGACAGGCCCATGGTGGTTAGTCATGATGCAAAGTTGTAAGTGGCATGATAGAAGGATGCCTTGGATATTATGGGAATGGTGCCCAACCCAGGCTGCAACGGAGTGGCAAGAGTAGAACGGAAGATTTCTGGAAGGTAGCTTGCATGAAAAACTTGCTAAAGAAAGACTTTTTATATTGAAGTGAATACTAGGGCAACCTGAGATACTTCTAGATGATACCAATCATCATTCTTCATTATAAGTGTTCACAGTATCTGCCACTAACAACCAATGGAAATGTTTAGAACCAATTGCTTTAGAGTGATTAGAAGGTTAGCTCTTTCATTATGTGGAAGAGGTGAGGATATGGGAACAGGAAGAAGTCATACACATGTGGAAAAATGTAAGATGAAAACATTGATCCTATTTTTTCCATATTTGATAATGGCATCAAAATATTTTATCTGCATTATAATACTTCACAAAATAACATTCCTTAAAAGACTGTAAGGAATTTGGAACAAAGACATTGAATTTGTAGACTCCATATGTCTCTGTAGCAAGAATCTGCAGGCCAAAAAGCTAGCATGCCAACTGCTGATACTCAATTTAGGGGACTCTCAGAAGGTGCTAGTTTCAGTCTCCTTGCCCTAATCAGAATGCTCTCAAGGCACTGAGAAGTGATCAGCGTAAGAAAAGGCTGCATTTTTATCTTGACTGCTCTGTGTCTATCACTGGCTTTCTTAGGACTGTGACAGAATATAAATTCCTATTTCCATGGCACGTGGTATGTGAGGAGGTCCTAGTACTGTCCCTAAGCTACTATGTGCAACCCTGAGCAAGTTTTCTCATCTCTCCAGGCATCCACATGTCCGCTTGTGGAATGGGGGCATGGGACAGCTCACTAACTCGCAACAGACGCAAAAGAGCCTTCGAGGCGGGGGCTCTGATCGTTAGAGCGGGCAGGAGCCTGCAAGGCACAGGACAGTCATTGACAAAGCATTCTAGGTCCCACGCAATAGTCAAGTGTCCCATCTGAATCTCTTGTAAGGGAAAAGTCTGGAACCTATTTCTGAGCCAAACCGAATTCCCTTTCCATTACAATCTGAACCATTACTCTTGAACGTGGCACTTTTCGAGGTTATGTCCTCCTGCCCCTCAGGGCTCCTTTGTTGCTCTACACTACTTGTTAGTAACTGTTTCTGATGGTCTTTACTTAACCCAAAGTTACTTCTGATAAGTGCAAAATCTGACTCCTTCATGTTATCTTTCAGTGTAGTCATGCCTGGGCACTTGCATATCAAAATACATATTATTATGAATAATTTTCCTTTCAGTTCCTCTTTATAATCATATGGAGACCACACTGCTATTTTTTATTATGTGTATAGATACGTTAAATTATTCATGGATTTCATTCTAGAGTATAAAAAAAGGGGAGGGGGACTTCAAAGTATTTGCTAGAACTAGCGGAGGTCTCGGGACTGATGGAATAGAGAACCCAAACCCAGGACCAGTCACCTCTGCGCAGGGCTTGCAGGCTCTGCCGGGCATGGCGGTGCAGCTCCTCCACGCACGGCGGCCTCGTGGCTGGGAGGAAGATGTTCCTCTGCTGGTGCCATGGTGCGCGGTAGTACACACTCAGCTTACTCTCAATGTCCAGGTTGGAGACGGCTGCAAGACAAAGAGGGAGGCAGGCAGGTTATATCAGTGGCTTTCACTTAGGCATCTGGCAGACTCTGGGGCAGAGGTGGGGCAGGAATGGCGCCTGGGTGGAGTGGAAATCCAGGCTGCTGCATTCACATCAATAACTAACTCAAGGCCGGAGAAAGGTTTGAAGTTGCCCAAACCAATAGGGACAGCCCTTGCTCCAGAGCCCAGGGATGGGAGACCCAGGACACCACCCACGATGCCTGTGACCAACTAATTTTCTCTCCACACTTTCACTTCTTGCACAGTGGCTCATCAACCCTGACGAGCTCCTTGTCAGCCTGCTTACAGGTGAGAATGGAGATCCTGCCTTCCAAGAAATGTCAAGGAATTGAAAAGGTTGCCCCTTTGGGCTGCAGCACCCCCAGAATTATAGTTCTGTACACTGAGTCTGGCTCATGCCCTGCTCTGCTTCATGTCTCTTCTGAGCCCTGGTCTCAAGATCTCATCCTGCCTGCCACAGAGCGACTTCATTGCCTGCCATCTTTCAAAGCATTGCAGTTCCCCTGGTCTCACCCAGGGGTGAGTACAAGCACTAAAGAAACCAGGCCGGGGCTGATGGGTTTTAAGGGAAGGAAACTTCTGACAGTGCAGTTCTTGCAACCCCTCCCCAAGAGATCAAACCCAGCACTGAGCCCTCTATGGTCTACACTCACAAACTGCTCAAGGTGAAACTGCCCGTGAGTTGGTAAATGCTTATGGAAGCAGGTGTCAGGAACGAGGAGGACAGGGATTCCAGGATGACTGCACAGAGCCTGACCACCTGGACGGTCCAGCACCCTCAAGAGTGGCGAGAACTGGCCCAGTCTGCTTCACCTGACTGTCCACGCCCACGTACGTAGCCTGGGCCCACGCTACTCCTCCAAGTCTCATTTCCTCTTTCTGCTTCTTTTCCTCTTTTTCACAGTATGTGACTTGGGTGTGGGGGGTGCTCTTCCCAAATATTTATCCTTGTGTCCCAAATAGGCTTCTGGTTTTTTTCTCTGACGCTTCTCTTTCTGAAATCAGTCCACCACTTTGTCTAAGGTGCCATACATGGAACAAGACCCTTTATAGATAAAGCACAAAGTAAAATGGAAAAGAATGGAGAATGTCTTTTAGAAGGAGAATAGAAGAAAGAAAACTAGGAAAAAATGCAACTTTCTGATACTTACTTATTCCTCAAGTACTATCTTTTATGAAAGTTTCATTAATTAATTAATTTAATTTTTGCTTATATGGAAGTCATAAGAGTGAAAGAGAGCAAGCCAGAGAGAGATATCTTCTATCCACTGATTCACCCCCAAATTTCTGCAACAACCAGGGCTGGGCCAGGCCAAAGCCAGGAACTAGTAACTCAACCATGTCTCCCAGATTGGTGGCAAGGATCTAGGTACTTGACCTATCACTTGCTGCCTCCCAGGAAGCTATATAAGAAGCAGAGGGGCTGGGGCCAGCGCTGTAGTGTAGCGGGTAGAGCCTGCATTGCCAGCATCCCATATGGGCGCTGGTTCAAATCCCAGCTGCTCTACTTCCAATCCTCCTCTCTGCTATGGCCTGGAAAAGCAGTAGAAGATGTCCCAAGTCCTTGGGCCCCTGCACCCATGTGAGAGACCCGGAAGAACCTCCTGGCTCCTGGCCTCTGATTGGCGCAGCTCTGGCCATTGTGGCTAACCAGAGAGTGAACCAGCAGATGGAAGACATCTCTCTCTCTCTCTCTCTCTCTCTCTCTCTGCCTCTCCTTCTCTCTCTGTGTGCAACTCTGGATTTCAAGTAAATAAATAAATCTTAAAAAAAAAAAGCAGAGGGGAGACTCGATGCAGGCACTGTGACATGGGATGTGGATGTCTCAAGAGGCAGTTTAACTGCTGTGCCACAATGCCTAGTCCCCAAATACTACCCTGGGGCAGTTATTTTAGTTTTTATTTCTGTTTTCTAGTATAGTCTTCAGTACTAATTTTTTTTCTAACATAGTACATCATGAGCACAAGAGTCACCAACAGAAGCAAACAGAGTTTTAAAGATATAAAGAAACATCACATGGACGGGTCAAGGGGAAAGTGCCATCCCTCTAAACAGTGATGTCCAACAGAACTTTCTGTGATTATGTAATTCTGTAAGCTGTGCTGTACAATATGGTAGCCAATGCCCACATTGGCTGTTAAGCACATGCAATGTGGCTAGTGCCTGAGGACCTGAATTTGTAGCTTGATTAAATTTTAACTAAGAAGTTTAAATAGCCTTATGTGTTTATTGTATTGGACAATGTAACCCTAGAACAGCTATAAATAGCCTATTAGATTTTCTTACCTTTAGGCACAGGGCAGATTATAAATTTTTTGACCTAGGTGTATTTTCCCTTGTGGTTAATCCCTAAGAATTCAAGCTCAAGGGTTACAGATTGGAGGATTATCTCCATGTGTACAGAGGAATATCATTAGGGGAGGGTTCTCTGCAGCCCAAAAATCAAGGCACCAATTGTTCTTTTTCAAGTTACTCTATAACCTCAACTCTCCCCTTGGAAACTGTTTGGCAAGCCAGTCAGGGGTCACTAAGTCCTGGGGACAAGATGGGAGGAGTAGGAGGCCTTAGGGTAGGGAGGGGAGTCCAGGTCTGGATCAGAGCTTCCCTTCCCTCAAATGTGAAGTGGCAGCGGGGTGGGGGTGGGGGGCAGTTCTAAAGACAGAGGATTTATCCAGCCACCCACGGAGGAACGCTGGGTTTCAGGGACAAGGTGGACTAAAGCGGCAGCCTCTCCCTGGATGTGGAGGTTATCTCTCACCCAACAGGGCACAGGCGGGGACAGCTAGGAGAGGGAACATAGCACAGACATAACACAGACTTGTCTGTGGAAGGAAGGGACAGGGAGTTCAGGAGGCAGTCCCAGAGGGAGAGGAGGTTTCTGAAATCCCTTCCCCAGGTTCATTTGCTTCGGGAAGGTGGCAGCCAGGATGTGGGGCTCGGCCCAGGTGACTCGCGGCTACGCTGGAAGACTTACAGCCCTCCATTCCCTGAGCATCAACTGACCAGAAGCTCAGGGTGTTAGGCTCAACAGCCCCTCAGAAACCAGATGGAGGCCCCATCGCTTCTCAGTCTTCGTAGGAAAAGCTGAATTCCTGCCATTTACCTTAGTGACAGCCTGAAGGAAGGACTCATCATAGTGGTTGTCAAAAAATGCAGATCCCTGGGCTCCGATCTAGATCACTTGATGCAGAAATTCTAAGAGAGAGGCCTGGCAATGCATATACTTGAAAAAAAAAAAACTGTCCCAAGATAGTCTATTTAACATCATGCAAGTTTGAGAAACTTACAATGCTTTCTTATGACACCTTGGGATCTTGTGGACATGAAAGGGGTTGGGCAACATGAGGGAAGGGAAGAGCCTGCTGATGAAATGACCTCTGGTATAGGAATCTCCTAGGGATGGTCTAAGACCTCTAGACCACAAAGGCCCCACACCCCGAAAGGTGTAGTCCCTACTCTTCCACCTCTGCCTTTATCTCAGAATAAATTAGCATATCATAAAATAAGCGCAAAGACGTTTGGCAAACATTTTCCCCTCGTTATTCGATATTGAATATAAACTTAACTGGAAGAAAAGTACCATGTTTAGTGTTCTTTCTTTGCTGATGCCCTAAACATATTCCTGTTGTGCTGCGTCTCTGGGTTGCTACACCCTGCCTGCTTCTCTGGACTGCAGACTTGCAGTTGCAAAGGTGAATTCCAGCATGGGCAGCCACGTCACAGTTCCCAGGAAAAATCAACCCTCCCAACAGCAGCCTTAAGGGCCGTGGGTCCTCACCTTTCCCTAACCAAAATCTCTTCCTTTCTCCACTGAGAAACCATAACAGATTTCTGCCCAGTATTAGCAGGCAGACTTTTTTTTTTTTCTTTTGCCACAGTGCTGTCTATTCTTCGAGTGGGAAGGGAAGGAGAACTGTTGAATGCCTATACTCTCAGTTATGGCCTTTGGTCAAAGAGCAGTAACTACTCTTCTGTGTCTGCTGCAAGCAGACAGACTGACACTAATGGAGCTTGCCCAGGGAAAACTATGTTATTTTCCTTCTTGAAAAAAAATCTATTCTTTTTCCTAAGAAACAATTCAAAGTTGCATTCATTCACTCAGCAGCTCACTGCATCACAGCCATTGAGGGCCCCATCTTCAGGTTCTCTTTTCCTCCCTTTCTACCAATTTCACCATGGCTGAGCCATGAAAGACAGCAGGGTGACTGAATAATGTTTGTTCTCATATAAACAATACAGAGAACCAAGAAAGGTTTTCCCGGGGGCGGCATTGTGGCATAGCTGGTCAAACCACCACCATTGACATCAGCATCCCATATGGACACTGGTTCATGCCTCAGCTGCTCCACTTTCCCAGCTCCCTGCTAATGGCCTGGGAAAGCATCAAAAGATGACCCAAGTACTTGAGCCCACACACCCTCATGGGAGACCTGCATTGAGCTCTTGGCTGCTAGCTTCAGCCTGGCCCACCCCTGGCCTTTGTGGCCATTTGGGGAGTGAATCAGTGGGTAGAAGATCTCTCTCTCTGTCTCTCTCCCATCTCTCTTACTTTCAAATAAATAAAATAATTTTTTTTAAAAAAAGAAGTTTTTTCCTGTATTTCTTTAGGTACATCCAGGAGCCCTCTCTGGTACGCAGAATTCTAGAACAGCCCCTAAGATTCCTGTCCTCTCAAGTACTTGCCTATACAATTCCCTCCTCTTCAGTGTGGGCAGAACCTGTGACTTACGTAACATTGCATGGCAAATGGCATTTTAAGGTCCCTACTCAGATGCCTTTTAGTTAGTTCATCAGAAGGGAAAGTATTATCTTAGGTAGATGTGGCCTGATCAGGTGAACCTGCAAGAGACAAGAAGCAGCAGAGGCACTCTCCTGTTGGCCTTAGAGAAGCCAACTCCCACACTGACAGGAAATGGCAGGCAGCTTCCAAGACCTGAAATCCTCAGTCCTGCAACCTCAAG